AGGACCCCCCCTTCTCCCCCCGATAATCCCTCGAAAAACCTCTCCGAAATCTTTTGACCATTATAACTCTTTTAATATACAACAGAAAAAGAAACTATGGTGGCAATATGTTCGTGCGAAGGCCCAAATTTTTTAATTCATTTCGGTTTTCTGTGAACAAGGAAAGGCGTTACCCTGGAGACAGTTTGTGTCTATAATTTTGAAGGTAACAGCACGTCAACGTCTACAATAAGTATATTTCAGGTTGATAGTCAGGCTCGACAAGAACCCAACATAGGACGTACCTCCGGTGATTGTCATAATACTCACGGCTTAATAATCGCGACTACTTCAGTTGGACAGGGCGTCGACTTCGAAGTAGAAGTAAGGAACGTAGAGGAAGAAGATGTCGCGCTCCTCGAGTAAATGATCAGCCATGCATGATTATGATCGCATTTTCCTGAAGATAGTGGCCGATTAAACATCTCGTCCACTTTGTTCCTACTGGCAGTACTACGTGCTATGAGTATGAAAATCACTTTGATAATATTTCTCTGTTGTGCATTGCCATTGTTGAATAAAAATGTATCATATTTATAAGACATATATCATATAACCAAAAAAATACTACTCACCCTCAGCTACTTGATCACTTTTCTGCGGGATGCGCCTGTATATTTGGCTAACTTCGCTCGTCTGCGTCTCCGCGTCCTGGCCCTCTTGCCTCCGGCTGCCGAGATCCTGCGTCAGCTATTTGATTAGCTAGCTATTTAAAGTACTTCAGCGTAGCTTAACAAGAAAAGAAATTTTGAAGTAGCTGAGGGTGAGAAGTTTTTTTTTGGTTATTCTTATCATATTCGTCTGACTCTTATAATTTATTTCCAAGCAATGAAAGATCATCCGCCAATTGATATGATCATGTTGATGTTGTTGACAGAGAACGAGACGGAACCTGTAGTAGCATCAACAGACAAATAACATCTTCACGACCTGACCAACATAAGTACATGTTCATGTTGAAACTTCCATGCACAGACGCTCTCCTCGACGTCAACAAGGACTATGTGATCATGCATATTGTTTTTTCCTTCAGCCTGGATCATCCAGGACCGACTACCAGAGCACAGCTTCAGGCTGGCGATCTATGCGCGCGCACCCCCAGCTGGTGCGTTGGCCCTTACCCTTTGGCCGAAGACTTTGGAATTAGAATGGTCCACCAGTGAGGCCAGTCTGCGGAGTGCACACGAAAAGCCGAGGGCTCAATATGATTCTTGGTTTTATCGTCGAGGGAAAATGGAAGGTGCTCATAAGTCGCAGAATTACTAGCTACTTATGTATACAACAAGATTAGAAAATACCCGCTGTGTTACAGCCTACGGCAATACTAGGTGTAGTAGCGTATGGCAGTAGGTGGGAACAATTTAGCAAGAAGGGCGCGTCAAGATTGCGCACATGGACACACGCTGGTGTGGTATAGTTACCTTACACGCATTAATAATCGCTTGTGGTTTAATTGGTCGCTTAACAGGTAGTATTTAGTGACCTCTGTGTAAGTTTTGCTCGTAACTTGGCCAGGTGCAGGTAGGGTCAAACTTGAAGCACATGACCATGACCATCAGCTTAATTACTCTAGATAGCATTTAGGCTGCCGCCTACATAGTCTTCTTCTCTCTGTGTCGAATCTTCTGTTTTACTTGTCCTTGCGCGTTAGTTTTTGTTGAGGCTTCTGGAATAGGCTTGAGTGAATAAAAGACATCTGTACAAAAAATTAGACCAGGATTTTTCTCGTTGCACAACCTTATTTTTTTTTTCGTTTTTTGGAATCTCCAAACGGGCCACGCCCTTCGGGAACGATGTAGCCAATGGAGGGCTGAGCAGCTAAACCACAACTCGGCGCTCCCGTCCCAGGGATAGCGAAGGGTGGACTCGATAAGCGCCGCCAGAGGAGTCCCAACCCTTGGGAGGCTCCGATCGGAGGTGCCTTGGAGGGGTGTCAAAAAGGGGGACAAAAAGGCGTCACTTGTACCCCCCAAACAAGGGGGCACAAAGGGCGACATGGGGCCAAAAGTGTCGCCTAAAGGCACCCCCTAGACCCCACTAGGCAGGACCGTTTCGGTCCTCGTAAAAAGGGTCGACGTTTTATTTTCAAAAATGGGGTGCAAAATGCACCCCATTTGTGTCGACCCTTTTTTGGCCAAAAAGTCCCCCATTTGAAGTGCTTCAGCTGAGGGTCTCCAAAGGGCTCGGGACCCTCCAGACGTGTTCGTAGCGTGTTCGTCTCGGTGTCGCCGTTGGAAGCGTGCCGTTCCCCAGATTGCCAATCCAGCAGCTTGGATGCCTAGCTGGGACATGCGCTGGCGGGCGCATCTTTAGGTAGCCAAAATAAAAAAAAGAATGACGTTGCGCAACGAGGAAAATCCTGGTCTAAAAAAATTCTGATAGTCTATGTATATAAATATTTATAACTTTTGGAAAGAGGGTAAAAGATCCATGATGAGATGAGTAAGCGACTATCTTTGTTTATAGTCGTTTTGCACTCAAGAACCAGAGACTTGTGCACACAACCAGAGAGCTGAGCACTCACCGAAGGTGAGTGCCTATAGGGCTGACAGGGCGACGATAGCGCCGGCGCTTACTTAGTTTTAGCAGATAGGAGTATGCTTGATGATGGCTACCCTCATCGCTTTTCTATCTTCCTCGGGTCTTTCTTTTTTCTAGTTAGGTCTGCTCCGCCACAAATATATAGCAAAAATTCTAAGTCTAACCTATTGACTGAGGCTGAGCAACAGCAACTACAACTACAATGTAGTTTATTCGCAATGAGAGCTATGGTCGAACTGCCTCAGCAGCAATCATGTGAAAAGCGGGGGTCAGCACGTTCACGATGACCACTCGGCTGCTGGTCCTCCTGCTCTTTGCGCGGTTGCTTGCCTTTGGCCACGCCATTGTTCGCGATGTCGCACGAGAGGCGCAAAAGTTGAGGGACGAGGATGCTTCGGTGCACCAAGGCAGACAGAGCGTTCGCATCGAGGGCGACGCGCTGCTTGGTCTTCCGCGCGACCGATTGGATATTCACAACCGCAGTTATGCGAGAGATATTTCTTCTGGCGGCGCAGTGAGGTATTATGTCTACGAGGACATGTTCCTGAACTGGCGACGTCCCGGCTCGTGCACTTGGGGCAAAGATGAAAAACCTCTCGATTTCGTGGAGGAAGAGCAACAAGGTGACAACAATGGCAACATCGATTATCAGGGCTTCTTCTCGTCTTCGGACGACGAGAAGAGTCATCAAAAGGATCAGCGTAGTCCGTTGTTGAACACGATTGTTAGCGAGACGGGCGCTCCACCCAAGCATGCGTCGGATATCGTCTTTTCCGACCGGGCACTGGCCGCGGATCATCCGTGGCGCACTAGAGACCCTTCGAAAGCGCAAGTTTTCGTTCTTCCTGCACTTTTAAACCTGTTTTCGCAGGCGCACACCAGTTACGCGACTTCGTTGTTACCGATTTGCTGCGAAGGCGTGTGCAATATGGAGCTTCTGCGTGCGTTTGACGAGAAGCTTGGCGCATCGCCTTGGTTTCGTCGGAACAACGGCACTGATCACCTTGTCATCGCGAGCCACTGGAACTCGAGGCGGCTGCTGCAGTGGCAAGAAAATGACCTCTTCCAGTATGCACCCTTTCCGAACATCAACCGAGCCAGCCTTCTTACCTTTGATTAAGGCTACAAGAAATCCGTCTTCGTACTCGTAGGTATCTACATCTTGGTCCCGTTTCTGTAAAGGGAAAAGGAGGCCCAAGACGCTGGCGCAGATGGATTGCCCTTAGTTCTAAGTTCAAGACAGCTGGACCACGAGAGGTGTTTCCGAAGGGACGAGGCATCCTTCTGCCGTCGTTCTTACTCGTACTAGAGCAAGTAATAACATTACCGAAAGAACGACAAATCGTTGTAGAAAGAGAATACCGGATCTGTATCTTCCGGTGCTTTGTGGTGGATCCTATGCTGAACGGGGACTGACAATGCTAGGCCACGAACAAGATAGTAGTACAAGCATTGTCCAACTACAAGAAAAACATAGACATCAAGTTCAAGAAGCGAAGGAGAGAACACAGCACGAAGTAGAGGTACAGTCTTCGCAGGCGCGCTACGAGCGTACTGGACTGTTCTCTATGGTCGGACAGGTGGACAAACGTAGGCCATACCATTTGCGCAAGTGTGCTTGCGAATCGATCGCTGAGATTTCCGATGTGAGCGTGCGTGAACGGAGTATTTGCGCTAGCACGTCGCCGCTGGAGGAGCCAGACTTACCGGCGACAAATTATTCGGCGTTTCCCAACTATTGCACCGGCGATGAGGATCACTGGCCAACGCAAGGAGTTTCTGAGGTACTCTGTACACTGCCCCCTCCAGGATACGAGCAAGATCATGCTGATTCTGTCCTGCCATTGTTCTCAACTGCGAACTCGACAATTTCGTCTCTTGCGGTCTCTTCCTTTCTATCTCGAAAGGGAAACGGCCAAGAAGTAGAAAGGAAACGAACCGTCGATGATGATCTTCAGAAGATGAAAAACAGCATCAAAATAACATCTTCATCCTCCTTTTTCCATGCTACTGCAACGAAGAAGAAGAAGAAAAAGAAGACGACACTACACCGGAAAAGACCACGAGGAGCCAGTAAGTATTGCGATGTAGTGGCCAATACGAAATTCCTTTTGCACGTGCCTGGCGACACAATAAGCAGCAATCGGCTCGCCGATGCAATCGAGTATGGATCAGTTCCGGTGTTTTTTCTGGACCGTCAGACGTCGCCGGCGATCTTACCCTTTACAGACCGCATTCCCTGGCAGGACATGAGCGTGCGTCTTGGGGCAGACCGTCACGGCTTAGCAGGATGGCACGCGCAAGGAACAACGGTGCTGGATGAGATGAATATTCCTGGCCAAAGCCGTGCTTCAGACGACGTAGTTGTTCGTGAGGCATTGTCTGTGCCTTCCAGGACGGAAAGGGGAGGTGATTCCAGGGTGCATGCAGGAAGCGATTTGCGAACGGGGAGGACGAGCAAGAAGATAGCTCTATTGAAACAAAGTTGTAGAGAAAAGACGAAGATGAGACTCGAGGGTGAACTACAAGAACATCAACTACAAAAGCCGTATGAAGCCGCCTCCTCGCGAGGAGAAGACCGCCATAAGTTGACTCACGCAATGCACGCTGACGAGGAGGTTTGCGATCGGGGCCGGTTAGCTTCCGTACTTGCGTCTATTGCGCACATGCCCTCAGCGGAAGTGGATGCGAAGGCCCGAAGTCTAGCTCTTTACCGGCGTTACCTGTCGTGGACGGCGCGTGACAGTCGGGTCTTCGAAATGTTTCTGCAAGAAATGGTCACATGCGACCACTAGTCTGACATCAAATCAGGTTCAGGGGAGATGGAAGAAGAAACAGACATGATGATTCCAGTTTTACATCGGGAACCACAAGAAGATGGCCATTTTTGATCGTGTTGCGTTGCTTTTTTTTTGATGTTGTTGTAAAATAAGAATACACCGTGTGTAAAGATACAACGTACATGGGAAAACACTGTTTAACTTTAACTGCCATATTTTTTTTCCAATACGAAGCAACAGCAAGATCCAGTTGATATTACCACCTGGAAAAGTCAGCCGACGAGGCACAACGGCAATCGCACCGTGCTGGTATAAAACGGAGTCTTGTCGTCCCCGGGTGCAGCAGCACATTGTCAATTGTTAGCGGATAAAAGGAGCTTGTTTCTGATTGTAAAAACAAATTGAAAATGGAGTCGACAACATTTAGTATACGAAGAAAGTGGCACCGCTTGTAGTCGAACTAAATTAAAATCAGCAAAGACCACTAGTACCTAGTGCTTTAAAAGCACTGGCAAAGTCATGAAAAATATGAATGATCGGGAAAAGGCACCTATGTATTAGTAGCAACAGCAAGAGTAAAAACAGAATGAGGAAGACGATAATCAGAAGTAGAAAGTGAATGCAGTCGTTTCCTTATTTTTTTTGTATTTTATAGATACGAGTACTTGCGCGGAGAGAAGTTTCCCACAAGTACGAAATCGTGAGAAAAATTCTTACGAAATATACTCACGTAAATTCAAGGAAGACCACGACCACAGGATGATGGCAGCCGGCGCGACCGACGAGGAATTTTCTCGTTTGAAATTGCTCGTTTTCCGGACCCTAGAAAACAATGGAGTGCTGGGACAGATTCGGAGTCAAATACGGCACAACGTGTACAAGACGATCGAACAGGATGAAGTCCTCCTGCAAAAACCTTCGCTGAACGAACCCAATCAAGCCGCAGTCGTAGTCTTCGATTGGCTGGAAAAAAATGGGTATTTAAATGTATAGTATACATTTCTGAACTTTGTGGATCAGAAAAACTATTTTCCGTGCTAGAAACAGTACTAACTAGTACAACTAGTTCTTGATGTCTTCTACGTCTACCTAATACAGACAGATGACAGAACTCCTGTGCTGGTTTGAATATAATTTTCATCCGACCGGCAACTACGAACAATCGTTATCACAGGTATAGTCGTACAGCGAATTTACTGCAGCATGAGTCGAAGACTCGGCCAGCCGATGAGGAGAGCGTGGCGCGAGCAAAGAGTGATCTCGGGATATCATCCTTTGCGGAACCGTCAAGTTCTTTACTCGATGGGCTACTCAAATTACCGTCCTCAAGTCGCGGAGCCGCCGCCGCAGGTGCGGGCGGCGCCGTGTCACCTGGCGACAGTGGAGATGTGTTCGGCGGGCACGCAGGTGGCGCGACATCCTCACTGTCTTCGGGCATCTTGGGTGGCCTTGGAGCACGATCGCAACTAGAAAAGAAAGCCCCAGCTGCGCAAGCGGCGGGAAATTCCTTGTACTACGAGGACCACATTCACTAATCTTGTACAACTACTCGGAGAGCACGGCCACAATTTGCGTGCACTGGAAAACATTAATTTTCACTCAAAATCAATCAACAGTGCAATTTTTCAGTAAGTTTCTTTTTGAATGTTGAAGTTCGCTCTGTTACCTCAAGTAGTGCATACTGTTACTTTTTCAGTAGACTTGTCGTCGAGAGGATCGATTAGCAGCTCCACGCTCTTCCTGAAATTTGCCCTTCGTTTTACCCAACAGCAACCCGCCATCACGCAATGAAGACGCGGCAGAAGCAAGAGGCTCCGGTGGAGATACGGGATTTGCAAGTACTTTTTTCATTTACGCACGAGATACCTCCTGCTCACTGGAAGTAGAATCTCAATAAAAGATTTTCAATTTTGTCCTGGCAATCTGTTCCTTCTCTTGGGTGAAGACGGGGACTAGAGATGGACTACTTGAGTTTGAAATATGTCACGAACTTTTTAGCGTAATTCGTGGCTTCCTCACCTAGTTTGGATTACATTTTCAAGATTGAATGTTTCCTCATTTTCAGAGTCGAAGTTCCTGGCAGACTTGCCGCCACTAGGGAAAGACCTGCCTCCACTGGGAAAGGTGCGAGAGCTTCCGCCTCTCGGGGGCACGGCCAGCGGAGAAGAGGATGGTCTGCTGTCCGATATTGACAATAAGATAGCACAACTACGACTAGGCGGCGATGTGAACAAGGGCAGCACACTTGGTGGCACACTTGGTGGGTTCGGAAGCAGCGCAGTAGGACCGCTGGACGAGGCAAAGGTGCTTACTATCAGTCGCTTGTACTACTTGTTGGAAATGGAAAGTTGGTTTGTTGGGACTCTTATCGCGTGGTTTTTTTGTAGAATTTGAATTTGTGAAGTAGATTGACTTATACATAGTTAGATGCATTTGCAAGAAGAAGAACAAGCGATCATATTGGCGATTCTAAGCATCAAGAGGAAGAACAGGCGACCATATTCGCAATTCTGTTAATTACTGTGAAAATGACTACAGCCAACTTCCGGCGGCAGTGGTCCGTCAGCTGGTCCAGCGAGCGGCGTAGGCGATGCGTCGGGAAGCAAATTCACGACACTAGCGGCTGAGTCTCACCTGTTAGCGAGCAAAAACAAAGGCGGCTCACCTGTTGAAGAAGAGATAGTAAGTGAGATTGAGGAGAGTATATCGGCGGGGGGCATGTCCGAAGAGTACGAAAATGACTTCGTAGTGGAAAGCAAGTCAAGGGTGCTGGATAGTCTGCAGCAGGCTGATTTCTCAGTGGATTCTACAGAGCTCGAGAAATATGACCATTTGGAGGAAGTCGGGAATGACTGATGAACATGAAGATATGAATGAATTGCCCTTGCCGTGAAAAGATCTGTGTTAAGTACATATATATTTGATGGGCGTTGACGAATGAAACAGCTCTGATGAATTCTTGCGTGGCGGGATGCTTGTCCCACTAAGAACAGAAATGTCGAATCTGGGAAAGATGTGTGACTACTTGACGATTTTGTATCCAGCTATTCTGTCGCTTTACTTCAAATTTGAATTTCAGCATCGATGTACCACATCAATGGTATTCGTGGAATCTTCATCTCATTGTTACTGTACAAGTCGCCTTGGTCTGAATCATTTTTATTGCTTGAGTTACTGGAACTTGCTGACCTTGCCGTGGTAGTGCGAATATGACACCAACGACTACAAAAGCAGGACGTAGCAACAGGCTTAATTAGCAATCCTCCAGGTGGATGAGTGGGATCACGGGTCTCTCTCTCTCACTGGTCGCAGCAAAATACTCGCGCTTTTTGAGGACAGCTGACGCTGAGACGCCTGTCTACACTTCCTCCACGCGGCGAAAACGACGCACCGAGGAGAACTCATCATTTCTCACAGATGACCACAAGTCTGTTTTGTGAACGACCTTGACCTCCTTCCCATTTAAAAAAAAAAACGAATCACAGTAAAAAGCCAATCTGGTACTTGTTTTGAAAGCCGCCCTTCAAAAGCCGCTAAGACACCATGCTAAGGATTTTTTTTTACAACAACAAAGATCTCTTCTTCCTCTAATAAATGACAAGAACAGAAAGAGAAAACAAACGATGGAGCAGTAAGATCCTTAGTTCGTACTAGTTGCATGTTGTAAAAGTAAAAGTCCAGCGCGGCAGACAACAAAGGCACCCAAGATAGAAATACCATGCAGCAAACGTTTGATCCAGGCGAAAAGGGAGGCGGCTCGCTCGGCGAGCACCACGCTTTTGCGAAGAAGGCTACAGATGGAGAAATATACAAACATTCCGACTTGCAGTACTTGGCAGATGAAGTACTATTTTAATCTCGGTCTCGCCCTATCTACTTCTCCATGATTTATTAGAGAAATGTGGATATTATCGCTAACGATATGTATTAAAAATAAGTAGCTACAGCTCAATTACAATTAGAACTACTGGAAGTAGTCCAGACTGTCCTCAACGCTATAATGACTATCACGCAGGTTCTTCCGGGTATTTTCCTCCACACGAAGCATTTTCGCATGCAAAGGAAAATATGGGTGGCAGAGCTCCTTTTTCTGGTCGTTTTGGAAATAATATTTGTGATGGAACTGGTCGGACACTGCAAATTTATTGGAGCCTTCACCGCACCAAGGTGCGAGCGCTGTTATTCCGACATGTTTCTCTTCGTCGCTTTTGGGACGGGTGTTCTCTGGCTGCTGCACCTATACCTGTTTATATTGCTTTATGAGTAGACTTGTGATTATACTGCTTGTGCTTTTCTTAATCAATCAACATGGGGCTTTGCCTTTGTTCTTTTATTTAGCAATCCTATTATACCTGTGCTGGGAGGTCTCGTCTTATCAAATAGAAGATACAGAAGAGTAGAAAGAGATGAAAAAAAAGAAAAATATTTTTCTCTTCATTGTCTTTGTCTTAGCGCTCATCTCTACCACATTGGTCGCCACAATGGTCGCATGAATTCCCCTTTTCATTCTGCGAAGTCAAAGGGGTTTTACATCACGCGGCAAGTTTTAAAGCAGGGAGTCTATGCGACTTACGAAGGGGTATTTACCGATATGGCGCTAAACACATATTTCGGCTTCAGCTTTGGACTCGCAACAATGTGGTTCGCGGGTACTTCACAATCTATTTGATGTCAAACTTTTGATTTTGAATAATTTTGTAATAGCTTTTTCAGGAGGTGGGTGCGTACCATGATTTTTGATTTCATCTAGTAAATATAGTTATTTTCAACCATCACGGCTGCAGGGGGTGCTCACGGCCTATGACCCTGACCCTCTCTACCACTATGTGTGGTATGCTCATCGGTCTGTTCGGTGCTGTTGTTTTTCTCAATCATTCTCATTACCTCCGATCAGTTTTACCCTTCCTCTGGCTCTACCGTCCCACCTCCACCTCCTTAATTCTAACTAAGTAATTTTTAATTAGATGATAAACCTAATAAAATATAAGTGAATTTATTAGATAAAGGAACAGAAGTCATCACCAGGCACATAGGAAAGTACGCCATGCTTCAACAGAGAGTAATTACGGGCATGTACCAACCAGCTCTCTCTGGTCGGCCTCCTTCTTCTTTCCCAAATCAACTTTAGGATGAGAGAAACGAAAGGAAGTCGTTGAACTTCGACTCAAGGAATGAGTTAGTAACTATCTAATGAAAGCGCCTACAATTATCTAAACAATTTCATCATCCTTCTTATTTTCAACTACTTCTGCAGTCGTCTTCGTGAGGTACAGCTGCGTGATGGAACAAGGAGTACATCCATACATTGAAGAAGATAGCGATAGTAATTGTAGTCCAACATTAACTTCCTGCTCCATCGCCATCCCCATCGAAGATGCTTTTTTAGGTGCGTTCGCTGCGTTCGAGAGCCATATTGTCTGCGTCGGAGCTGGTGCCGGTTACGAGCGGCCGCGAAGCCAGCTGCTTGTTTACATTAACACTGCTACTCTCTGTTTTCTCCCACTATGCATGCTTTTCAGGATGTGAAGGTCGTGTGCATAAGATGAAGGAATGTCATTGCTCCTTCTGCATCTGCTGTAATAGAGGGAGTAGAACTCGATTTGATACTTCCCGTTTTCAAAAAAGACTCCAGCATATACACGACGACCACAGCACTACTCCTGAAAACTCTAATTGTTGAAGCAAGCAAGACAGAGTTCCACATCATGATGATCTACTTCTCTGTCTGCATGATCGTTTCATTATTTGTCTCCGTACTAGAAGAGACCATGCTGATCTTCAATATCAAAGTCATGATGATCTCTGAGCAACAGGAATTTTTTAGCGAAAAATTTCATTTTATTGTTGATCCATCGACAAAATAAATTTCCCCAAGAAGATCCTCCAAGGTCAACGAAGATGGAAGTACAACTTAGCGAGAAGCGAGCTCCACAGAAGATGACAGATCTAGATAAAGATGGCCATAGATCAGCCTCAGGGCCAAGATCACACTTATCCAACAGATCTACTCTAGCAAGCAGGTTCAGATCCAGCTTACCGCTAATGATCATAGAAAAGCTGGCCTATCTGTGTTGACCTACATCGAAGTCGTTGTGGGGCTTGTCGAGGTTTTTACCTGTAGACTAAGACTTCTGTAGGTATGCAAGCATGATTTGTTTAAATCTCCAACTTCTCATCTGCATGTTTTCACCAGGCGCAGGAGGTGCATTTAACAGCTATGGTTTAACAGCCCTGGGGCTGCGCAAGACGTATTCAGCGCTAATGATTATGATAGTTAATAGCTTCGCTGCTACTTGTTTTTAGAAGTGGCCTGTCGTAATTGTACGCTCCAAGGACATCGATATTGTCGAATTATGTTGGTCCGCATTCACATACTGAATGAAATATGCATCTTCCTCACATGAATTTGGATTGAACTTCGAGTCCTAAAGTTTTTTCATTCAAGACATAAATGGTATTTTGTCGTCCCATGTAATATTGGAGAACTACGTAGTACCACTAGAGTTTGAATATTATAAAGGAAAGAAAATCAAAATGGGAAAAGAAGTAGTGAAACAAGCGCAACAGGTGCAGGAGGGCGGCAGCTCGTCTTCATCCCAGCACGCGTCTTATCGGGAAACGGTGCGGTTTCGTCCGCAGGTGCCTCGCAACAGTGGGAGCAAGTATGAGAAGATAGGGCAACTGAATTACGCGGAGTGCCAGTACACGGAGTTCCTCAAGGAGTCCGTGGAGAATCATGTGGGCAGCTTCGATCTTTTCCTGGATCACATCATCCCGGAGATGCCGAGCGAGATCATCCCACTGGAGATCCCGCTGGCACTCGAGGGTTTGGAGCTCGGAGGCTCGTCCTCGTCGAAGCCCGGGTCTGGCAGTGGCGCACTGGGTTTGCGGATCGGAGTGGACAAAATTCACATCGAGAAGCCTGTGAAAAAAGATGCCAACATGCTGCCAGCGAAAGGCGTGAAGCATATCTTGCCGTCCGACTGTCGAGAGGGGCATTTTACCTATGGCGGCAAGCTCAGCGTCACGTTTTACACTCAGAAAGTGAACGAGGAGGGCAAAAACTTCTTCACCGTAGACATGGGAAACATCCCGGTCATGGTGGGATCGAAAGTGTGCCATTTGTCTGGCTTGTCCCCAAAAGACCTGGTCCGAGCGCGCGAGGACGAAACGGAACGAGGTGGGTATTTCATCATGAATGGTAACGAGCGTGTGATCCGTCTTCTCATCATGCCGAAAGCCAACCAGCTACTCGCCATTGACCGATCTTCCTTCACCAATCGTGGTGATCTCTACACGAAACATGCCGTGCAGGTACTGCTAACTACTTTATTTACAGACGGACCACGTCGTTCAATTTCAAGCAACAGAGATGAAGTTGATCAGGCGTTTTTGACACCTGATTGCGGCGTTCTCCCATTCAACTCTTGCTTCACTTTCACTATTCTTGTCCCTTAGTACTGTGTGATACCTAGGGTTGAAAAGTTAGTATACTATGTTTCAAAATGAAATCTTCAGAATGAATCCAACATTTTCATTTTTCCAGGTTCGTTGCATGCGTCGTGACATGACCACACTGACGAACACGCTACATTATTGCCGCGATGGTAGTTGCTTCTTTCGCTTCAGTCATGATAAGAACGAGTATTTGATTCCGATGCTGGTGATCGCCTACGCAGTCGCTCCCCACTACATGACGGATATGCTTCTGGCCCGCGCTTTGTGCGGAGGCGATCCCGATGATAACTTTTCTTCCGAACGAGTGCAGGTCATGTTCCAGACGATGATCGCGTCGGACTTCCCAGTTCACAGCAAGCTGGAAGCTTTGCAGTATCTCGGAGACCAGTTTCGACGGTCTTTGCAAGAACCCGACTACTTGACCGATGTGGAAGTGGGTCTCCGCATGTGCCGACGCTTCTTCCTGGTGCACAGCACGGCCTTCGAGGACAAATTCTCCTTCTTCTGCCTCATGTTCCAGAAGCTCATGAAACTGGTACTTCTTGCAACAACTTTCTAAATCCATGAAGTTCTTGAGGACTGATTTTCATTTTGATTTGTGATATTATAAACAAGATTCTGTCACTGATACTTCAGATTGTTGTATGTAGTTTTCGTCTTAAAAAATTTTTTGGCAAGAATGAATTTTGAATGAAAATGAATTTGCATTCATCATCATGGCACCCAAAAATACCAGGCTGCCGGCAAGATTGTTCCAGAGAACTGCGATGCTTTGTCGACGCAAGAGGCTCTGCTTCCCGGCCAGCTCTACGGCGCTGTCCTCAAAGAAGCAATTGAGGCGAATCTTATCAAAGCGAAAGGCGTCCTCTTGAAAAAGCTCCGTTACGGCGACGATTTATTCGATGTGGACACGGTCGAGCGCGTCTTCTGGGCAGTGAAAGACATTGACCACGCCATGAACTACTTTCTCGCAACCGGAACAATTAAATCCCGATCCGGTTTGGATTTGATGCAGGTACAACAATAACAACTTTTAATATTCTTGAAGCTACTCAAACTCACTAGGTTTTATTGTAAAAAGTAATTTGATGCTTGTTGACTTGTTTTTTTGGTATGCTAACATCGATTTCGGCATCAACCGTGATCATTGAATCTGCGTTATTTTCCTGCAGGTTACCGGTTTCACGATTGTGGCGGACAAGTTGAATGCTGTACGTTATTTGTCGCATTTTCGCGCGATCCACAGAGGTCAGTTTTTCATGGAGATGAAGACCACAGCGGTTCGAAAGCTGCTACCCGACAGTTGGGGTTTTCTCTGTCCTGTGCACACCCCTGATGGTGGCCCCTGTGGTTTGTTGAATCACTTGGCGCAGAACTGTCAGATTGCTCTCACATCGCCAGCGCACACGGAACGCGCATGCGAAAGCGTGCGCAAGTTCCTTTTGCAATTGGGTCTGCTGGCTTTCAGCGGCGACGAGCAGGTGGGATCGGCGATTGCGGGTGCCAGTTTGGGTCCCGGCGAGCGGTACTTGGCTGGCGGTCTGGACGTGTCGCGACACTATCCGGTCGTTCTGGAAGGACGAGTGCTAGGTTACGTCCGTGACGAAGACGCGGACCTGGTGGTTGCGCTTTTGCGCCGCGCCAAGACCATGAGTGGCGAGAATAGGCGCGCAACTCAGCGACTGTGGAAAAAGCTAATGACACAGCCGGTCAAACCGCACGAACTTCGCAAATCCGCGGTTAGCATGGAACCGGAAGGCGAGGAGAGTGGCGTGATCGGCGAAGATACGGGTCCAAAGAAGCGTGCCCGAAAAGCAGACAAGAAAAACAGCGACACGACTAAGAGTTCATCAACGTCTATTTCGAAGAGCGAGTCTGCCGATAGCGAAAACGATGCTAGTAAGGAGAAAACCGCAGCCGAAGAGGCGGATCGTGCCTTGACACACGCGTTCTGCTCTGTCAACACAGGGCCCGAATTGCTTCGCGAGGCCGAGGAAGAAAACTGCCGTTTATTAGGTGAGGGTCATGAGCAGATGTTCCAACTCGTTCCTTACAACCTGGAGGTTGGCTTCGTCGAGCGGTCGTGGGGCCGCATCTTTCCCGGCATCTTCCTTTTTGTTGGTCCATGCCGATTCACGCGACCAGTGAAATGCCTACGCAGCAACCAGCTGGAACACATTGGACCATTCGAACAGCTGTTTATGAAAATCGCAGTCAGTGAATCCGAGCTCATTTGGGCGCGCAAAGTTCTACGAGCCGATATCCAGGAGTACTTCAGGCAGATGCATGTAAACGTTGCATCCGACAAAGCTCTCAAAGCCGACGAAGAGACTGGGAAGAAGTCCTCAGCGTCCGCGACGCAAATCGCGAACGAGCTTGCGCATCGAAAACAAAGTTCTGCATCTGCAGGAGGTGAGTTACAAGGGCGGGAAGGGAATCTGAGTGTAGCAGGCCAGCTCAGTTTGCAACAGGAGATGGAGGCAATGACTTACACTCACAGAGAGATCGATCCGATCAAGATGCTCTCTATCATCGCCTCGCTTACGCCCTTCCAGAACCACAACCAGTCTCCGCGTTGCATGTACCTACATACTGAATTAGTTATGTCATAGGTCAGCATTAGTTATAATGTTATAGGTCAGCAGTCAGTGGCCACTGATTCTGAAGAACGGAAGAGACCATCTTCAAAGCTCTCCCCTTTTCCCTTCATTTTCCCCTGCTCTCTTAGGAGAGCCCCTCTGCGATCTCAGTGACCATCAACCCCTATGACCAATTAAAGTTGAGCCTCGGTTATGGTTTGGGAGTCATGATCTTTTGTATCAGCATCTGCGCAACCATTGTCTCATCGCGTTACGGGTCAGTAGGAACTATCTGAATTTTCTATTTGGTGTTGTTTTTGAATTCCAACCATCAATCCTTTTTTCCACTCCAGGTACCAGTGTCAGATGTTGAAACAGACTATGGGAACGCCATACTTAAATCACTCGAGGAGAACAGATAACAAGGTTTACAAAATCCAGTTTCCGCAGAGGCCGATGGTTCGGGCACAGATGTACCAGGACGCCAAATTCGACACACATCCAGCAGGTATTGCAGACGATATTTGTTTTCTTGTGGAATTTCTGAATCCGAACGTATATTCAATCATTGAGATTTTGATGTTCTTGAAGATACTGAATGACAACCACTTCTACAACACTCGTGGGCCGGATGATCTTTTCACAGCATCCGTCGTAATTAGATAATCAAAGAGTAATAGTGGAAGATGATGAATTTTTCTCAAGGTATGAACGCAATTGTCGCGGTTGCTGCGTACACTGGGTACGATATGGAGGATGCCATGATCATCAACAAAATGAGTTTTGACCGTGGATTTATGGCGGGCAACGTTTACAAGCAGAAAATCATACCTGCGACTCCGGACAAGGACCAGCGATCAAGGCAACAAGCTGCCAACTGGATGGTTTCCAATCTGAACCCATCCCTGAACAACAAGCCCATCGTGGAAGACGAGCACATGATGCGTGACGGTACGCCGAAGGTGGGCACGAAGCTGCACCAGGGTATGCCGATTGCGTGTGTGGTTAACAAAGCGACAGGAGAGCAGGAGATCCACAAATACAAGGATGCCGATCCGTGCTACATCGAGAGCGTGTCGCTCATCGGAGGCGGCAGTTTCTACGGTGGCGGCATTGAAGACGGACAACAAAAGCTCTCCTTAAAATTGCGATTCCCGCGTCGTCCCATGGTTGGTGATAAGTTCGCGACGAGACACGGACAAAAAGGTACTTCTGAAATAGAAGTTCTTATTCCTGAAGCACGTTGATGTATTCATTGTCTACTAGTATAGATAAACTCCGATTCCGCGGCTGATGCACCTTAAGAAACAGGGTCTACTTCATCTAAGTAATAACTCAAGAACACTTTCTCATTGTCATTCTTACTTCATCTGTCTTTCAGGTGTGATGGCTACGTTGTGGCCGTCCGAAGATATGCCATTCTCTGCGCGCGGTATGGTTCCGGACATTCTGTTCAATCCCCACGGTTTCCCGTCGCGCATGACGATCGGACAGTTGATTGAGAGTATGGCTGGAAAAGCTGCTGCTCTGGAGGGCCGCAAAGCCGTGAACGCAACAGCATTCCGAAAATATCGCGGCAATTTTTGCTACCCTGACGAAAACGAAGATGATCCCTTCCTCGAGCGGGACCCTGAGACCCTGTGCGACCCCTCGAAGCAGCCGGCGCCGGCTGAGTATTTTGGCCGCATTTTGCACGACAACGGCTTCGACTACTACGGCACAGAAGAACTGTACGACGGCGTGAGCGGAGAACCAATGAAGACGCACATCTTCATGGGTTGCGTCTACTACCAGCGACTGAGGCACATGGTTGCCGACAAGGCGCAGGTGCGCGCTTTAGGCCCGATCGATCCGATCACGCGACAGCCGGTCAAAGGACGTCAGCGCGGAGGTGGTATCCGTTTGGGAGAGATGGAACGCGACGCGCTTGTGGCTCACGGAACGTCTTACTTGTTGCACGATCGTTTGATGCGCTGCTCCGATTACTCTCTCGGTTTCGTGTGCCCAGAGTGCGGCAGCATCATTACGCCAGTCCCGAAGCTGACGCAGGGCCAGGGAGCACACACGGGTGGTCCTCAACTCAACGCAGCCGCGGCCGCCGGCAGACGGAGCTGCATGGTCACCGAAGCCGTCTGCCCGCCGTGCACGCGCAGAAAACGAGAGAGAATGGCCGAATCTAGGGAAGAAATGGGCGATCCAGAAGTTCGGTGTGTGGCCAAGGACATCCCCTTTGTGTTCCGACTTTTATCCGTTGAGTTCGCAGCAATGGGTATCAACTTGCAGATGAAACTCGACAAAAACGAGGAAGATGTCTATCTGCCATCTCCACCTGAGGCAGATGTTGCAGAATCCTCTTCAAGCGGTGCAATGCCAATAGACGCACCAGAGAAGAAATACATAAGTACACGAGACGACTGCTACGACCAATTTGCAGATGCGAAGCATAGGTGGCAAGCCCAAACCACGACAGAAGAAGACACGCTACAACCCATGCAGGTTGACTCGTGATGACAGTGAAATAAAAGATTTTCAATGCATCAAACCAAAACTAAAAGTAAGTTCATCATTAATATTCGTCTTGTAGCGTCACCACATCATCAATAAGTAAAAATTGTATCAATACGACATCAATGAATTACCCTTCTCTATGGAATTGACTAAAAGAGTATCTTGCATTGATGTTGCAGTTCCCCGTACTCTTCCACCAGAGTGAGGCGAGCAACATCGATGGAAACAACACGAGCATCAATGATCGTCGTCGGATTTCTTGAGCAACGCCATTGCAAAAATACCACTACTAGCAAATTGCGAAGTCCGAGAACTTCTCCTGACAGGGAATTGAATATGCGAAAACTTGTTCATAGGTAGGGTAAATTGACTACCCCATTACCTTTTTTTTTAGTTCTTGCTATAAGAAATGCCACCTGTCGTGCTGAGCTTTGTCGGTAAAAGCATAAATGCTTCAAGCAAGTGAAGAAGTCGCACTTGAAAATATGAGAACGAATTTTTATGATAACCTCTACAGCCGAAAAACTGGATCTGTCGATAATAACGTCGCTGTCCTCATTCTTGATTTTGATTGACTTCAAGGGCTGTCGGTCTTTCTCAGACTTAAGATTCTCATTATCCTGTTATTTCGTTAACTGGTAGTGGGCTTCCGTCTTCACAAAACTGCATACTCTTCAACAGTTGAAGTTCAACTTAGAATATGTAATGGTCCAGCGACGCTCAAAGCACTAAATAAAGCAACCGGCTAGCTTTTACCTCTACAAACTTAGGCTTATCCCGTGCAGCGATATGTTATGGAAAAGAACGTGAAAAGAAGTTCATGCTCCAAAATTATCCTTTTTTTAAACTGTGATCACGATTGCATCTAGTTCAAGTTTTGTTCCCGAGAAAATAAGCAACCGCGTTCTTGTCCCCTGCGTTCTCGTTCAATTGCAACCTGTTGTATGATGTTGTTAAGCTTCATGGGTGGTCGGCGTTTGCAACACATTGAATCAATATCTGGAAATATCATTTTTTTCAAGCCGACGTCACAGCCAAGACTTCTTGGATGAAGATCATAGAAGATGCCGCTCCACTATCGGCGAAAGAAAAAGCCGCCGGCTTCAGCACCGGAAGGCCCCCCTGCAGGAGCTGCCTCTGGTGCCGCCGCTGCCGAGACAGTTCCGTCGGCACAAGGAGCAGTTTCAGCGAGACCCACCGTGGCTGCTTGTGGGAGCAACACTGTACTGGTTGGCAATGCAGCAGCGCAGTCCTCCAGCAAAGTGCAAGTGACATCTCCTGCTTGGGCAGACAAAAGAGTGCGAGACGCTCCCACACCAGTGCGACAGTCACAGGATCACGGTGACAACGCTGGCAGCTCCGTGAATCCTTCTAGCTCAAGTGGTGCACCACAAACTGGAGGCCAGACGGCGCCGGTGCCAGGAGTAGGAGAGAATGGCTCAGCAGCGCCAGGTGATATTGTTACGAAGGCTGGCGCAAAGCCATCAAAGGCAAAGAGCCTTGAAGATGACGACTTTTTTTTTGACGATGACAGAGCACTTGAGGATGAGGAAGATGCTATGCTTTTTAATGCTGCAGTGCAGGAGGCCGCAACGACGGGTGTATTCGTGGATCCAAGTACAATATCAACAAGTGCCAGCACTTCCAAATCCAAAGCCGTGGGAGCGACTTCTTCTGCTTCCACAGGACAAAATGCAGTTGATGCAAATGCGAATAACAAGACAACATCAAGCTCAAGTAATTACAACAAGAATAGAGCAGAAGATGTACAAGGTGATATGTTTGCAAGCATGTATCTTGTCAGCGGCACGATTTCAGGAGCACACAGCGGAACAAGCAATGCGCGGCGTGTGCAGTCAAGTATTCGCAATCTAGAAGCCCAAGTCAAGCGCGGCACGTGGGTCACAAACGACTTTGTAAGCAAGTAAGGCAATTTTACACCCTCAAGAAGAAGAGCCTGATTATCCTGCAAGAGCACTTAAACTTAGTTATACCTCCCACTTGAACTAAAAACGAAGTATTGATGAAAACTCGAAACTCTAATATCTCTAAATCATTGCGAAAGTGCCCGCTGAAGCTGAGGCAGGTGCGCCGCCGACAAAGAAACGGAAAACGGCAGCCCCTCCGATGAAAAAAGCCACGAATACTTCTACAGTTGCAACTTCCTCGACAGGCGGAAACGCAAGCAGCAAGCCGAAACCCAGAGGCAAACGGAATATCTTCCTTCCCGCAGGCCGCGCGGCTCCGATAGCAAAAAGTAATGCCGAAGCGAAAACGAATTGGAATGAGGGTTCGGCTTCGGCAGTTTCTGCACCGCAAGGTGAAGGCGCTGGCGAGGTACAAAGCGCACATCATTCTAAACAGGCAGCTTTCCCTGAAACTGCTGAGGAAAAAGCAGAACGCATAGAGCGGGAAGAGGAGGAGCTTGCAAAACGCAAATTGAAATACGACTGGATGGACCTGGACGATGATCTAGAGGATGCGGCTGCGCAAAGTTCGGATCTGCATCTTCTAGTAGAGGATCCAGAGTTGGCGGACGAGAATCAGAACATTGCGATGAACAAAAAGGAGAAGCAAGGTCTTTTACCCAAGGGTGATGTCAGACGAGAGCAAGAGCCTAAGGGACTCTTTCAATTCAACGAAAAGACAACACCAATAAGTACTGGCGCAAAGGCTGATATGGTGGTGGATGACATGGAAACGGGAGAGGAGCATGAGGACATCGAGGGCCAGGCCGCAGCGAAGAAAGCGCGCACACGGGTAAATCGAAGCGTAATCCATGCATTGAATCAACGCGTGCTTCAGGCAAAACGATTTGCCTCCAAACGAGAGGAGGTGCGCAAACAAAACCGTGGAGCACCGATCCTATCGCTTTCGGGTGGGTACGCAGCTGGCACTCTCGGCGGAATGCAAATTACACCTGGGAAAGACACCGGAGCCATTTCTGCTACTGCGAGCGAGCAACAAAGCAATGCAGCAGTTGGGAGCAGAGCTCGAAACGCACCGGCAATGAAGGCAGTACCGAGAGGAAAAAAGATGGCTACATCTACTGCAGCATCGACATCCAGCTTGTCTACTGCTAGAGGAACCAATCCGAATACCAAGTTGCAAGCAGGACGTTCTCAGGCGCTAAGTGCACCAGCAGAACCTACTGCCGGAGGACTGAACACTAACAACTCTTCGACGCTCTTGCTATCTGCAGACGTCCTAGAAGATGACAATGTGAAAACAAATAGACACCAACACTGCGGGAACGCGGGCGCGGCACAAGCAGCAACTGCCAAAAAGTTGAAGGGCAAGAAGCGAGTCTCTTCTGCGAAAAAACCCTCATCCGCGAAGAAGAAGACAACCAGTGATAGCGAGTTCACTTCTGATTCTGAAGTTGGCTCTACGTCCTCATCTGACAGTTCCTCGTCTGGCAGAAGCGGCGGCGAGGATGAACCAGCGACAGATGTCGACGAAGGTGAGGTGAAACGCAAAATGCGAAGTGACGCGAAAATTCTGGGGATTCAGCAAGATCAAGAACCGGCTACAGGGGACGTCAATGCACAAGTGCGTACTCGAGCTAGAGGCGATACAATTCGGGATGACGATGACGCCATCGCGATATCGCAGCGACTTCTTGCTGCAGAGCAGAACACACGAACCGCAGGAACAGCGGGACGTATGACGCAGAAGCAAGGGACGACAGAAATGAAGCCAAATAGTGCCACCTCTTCAGCTCCAGTGAAGCCAAATCAGAGTACGACGGGGACGGGAGCCGCCGGTGCACAGTCAACAGCCACGCAGGAGAAGGAAGACAACGTCTCTGCGGGCCTTCTAGGTGCACAAGAAAAGACAGACGAGGAAATAAGATTACCAGCAGCACGTCCTCCGAGTGAAGAGCTAGCATTCTCAGACGCCAAAAAGCCAGCCCATCCAGTGTTCGACTCGAAAAAAAACACTATCAGTGGTTCCAGTCGCGCCACGAAGCATACAAAGGTGTCCTCAGCTGTTCTTGCGGCAGCTTGGGGTGGTGGTACCTCAAGTCGTTCGACTCAACAAAACACGGGAGGGACTAATACGAGTGCGCGTGCGGGTGCGACCAGTGCAGCATCAAGTAAACCCAGACCTGCAGGAGTAGACGGAGCGACATCAACAAGTACGAATATGCTGAATCCTGGAAATCAAGTCGAAGTAGACGATGCTATGTTCGATGGATCTGGGAATAGCAAAATAGAGATGACGAATGGGACTTCTACAACAGCTAAAAAAGCTAGAGTACTTGCGTCGGGCACATCCACGAAAACGACCAAGGCAAAGAGCACAAAGGCAGCACAAAAAACTGTCAAAAAAAGCGATGTAAAGGGAGAAGCGTCATCTTCAAGCGTGCTCGGCGCAGCGCCGTCTTCATCTGCCGCGAGTAAAAAAGCAATGCCGTCCATTAGTGCAGCTTTGTCAACCGAGTTGGATCAGTTGAGCGCGAATAAAGGTCGGAAAGGGAAGCAAGACCGCAACGGGTTTTCGAATTTCATGCTGCAAAGCAAAGCGTACGAACGACGTATGAGGGCCAACCCGAATCGGCAGGTAGCTGCAAATAAGCGTCTGCGAGATCGCAAGCGTGGAGGAAAGATGAATTTTTCGGCGGATCCAGACCAGCTACAGGGCCGCGCGCGACAAAACTACTATCTCAGTAAACGGGAACAACTAGCGAAAGAGACGTTCGCTCAACGGCATTTCATGGATAATCCGGGATGGAAAGTGCCGCTATACAGCCGCGGCTTCGGGCGAGACCGTACGGTCGTAAAGACGCCAGCAGAAGCGCTTGAGAAAGTCGCTTTTCAGAGTTTCCGGAATGGCCAAGCCGAGGCGATAGACGCAGTCACGCGGGATAGCCGTCGCACACTCTTGATTCTCCCGACTGGTATGGGTAAGTCTCTGACTTACCAAATTTGCGCGTTGTTGCTGCGAGACCAGGGCATGACGCTAGTTGTAACCCCTCTGGTCGCTCTGATGGCGGATCAGCTGAAAAATTTACCCGTGTGCATCCGAGGAGCGGCCATTAACTCGCATCAGACTCCCGAACAGTCGCGGAAGGTCATGGCCGCAGTGCGAAACGGTGAAATTGACTTGTTGTTCGTGACTCCGGAACGACTAGCCATGTGGGCACTGAGTAGTCGCGATTTCCCAATTGCGCTAGTGTGTGTGGACGAAGCGCATTGCGTGTCCATATGGTCACACAACTTCCGGCCAACCTACATGCGTCTAAACTACTTTTTCCAGCAGCTGAACATCCCGAGAGTCCTCGCGCTGACGGCAACGGCCACGAACCGAGCGATCACTGGTATCCAGGACCTCTTAAAAATTGATACAGTGCTACGCCAGAACATCCAAGGCGAAATAGTGCAAGAACGACGGGGTGTAGAAGGTGAAGACGCGTGTAAAGTCGTTGCCAAAGCAGTCAAAGAACAAACAGTGAAGCCTCCAAGCGAAGCCGAGCTTGATGAAGTTCCTCAAGTGACCCTTCCAAGTGCTTTGTTCGATAACGATCATGACGTGAGCAAGAAAGCGGTAGCTACCACAGCTCCGGAATCCAATACAACGGAAGATAAGGACGACCGAGTCGCGCATCAGATGAAAGATGAAGACGCGGTGAAAGCTTTAGGCTCAGCCGATGGTAAAGTCGATGTAAAGTCAGATAACACCGATGCCACTCCCCTTGTCGAGAACGCCAAGGACGATGCCGATGGTCAATCAGAAGTCAAAGCAGAAGCACCATCTTCAGCTTCAGCTTCAGCTTCAGCAGATGGCGATGCCGAGTCCAAGGTAGGACAAGAGCAGGGTAAAAGGTCGGTTTTGAGTCAGTCGATCTTGCGAAGGAATTTGACTTGCACTGTGTGCGAATGCGATGAGAAGAAAAAAGCTGATGAACTTCTCTACCTTCTTAATCAGGATGATCGATTTCGGGCAGGTCCGATTCTCGTCTATGTCTGGAGAAGGGCGACCGTTACTGCACTCGCGCGTCTCCTTTCTGGCCGGGGCGTCAACTGCGTTGGCTATCATTTATGTACACCAGTTCTTGCAGACTTCATTTCATTTTCAACAAATCTTTCACTTTTCTTCAACGTGGACTTCTAAGACCACATCAAGAGCGATTGTAGTTGCGTGCCTGATCAGAGTAGCAGGTAGTCAATACCTTGATTCTAGTCCACATCGCTTTTACCTGTTCCTTAAATCACTCGTTTGTATCCATGGCGCCTAGGTAGATGAAGTAGAACGAGTATCAAGAGATTGATACTGATACAATACATGGATACAATTATTTCCTTTTTCATTTCTTTCCTCTCTTGCGGCTGAAGACCGGGATCGCTTCCAGAAGGAGTTCACGCAGAATCGAATTCGCGTGCTCGTAACGACTATTGCGTTCGGAATGGGCATCGACAAGCCAGATATTCAAGGCGTGATCCATTACGACATGCCGAAGTCCCTGGAGAACTTTGTACAGGAAAGTGGCCGCTGCGCGCGCGACCTGAACCGGCGAGGACACTGCCATGTCTTCGTCAACGCAGGGGATTTCGCCCAACAAAGAAAATACGTCTTCGGCAGTATTGGCGCACATGGTTCTGCAGTCGACAAGCTGTTGGATCTCGTTTTTAACCGCAAGCGGAGGCACGCATTGCAGCAGGCAAATAAAGGAGCAGGAGGAGGGACACAACAAACAGCAGAGGAGCAGGTAGACAGCATCGTTCTAAACGAAAAAGAAACGGCGCGCGTTCTTGGCTGTGAAACGGATGAGGTGCACTCTTTGCTAGCAAACCTAGAACGGCTCTCGGGAGACGCTTTTCGATTGTACAGCAGTTTTCCTGCGACCTTGCGCATGCGCTTTTTCGGAGTAACGCCGGAAGAACTCTCTGAAAAGGACATCTTCCTACGAGAGCTCCTGCCACTATGTCGCACAAACTCCGGTGTACGCACTATCGACACCCTAGCCGCCATCAAAGCGCTCAACTCGAACAGTATTCGTTTGATTAGGTCTCAGATGATCATGGCCATGCCCGGCGTAGTGTCTTTGCAAAAGAAACTCCATACTTGCACGCCAACTACTTGCCTTTACCTCAGTGAGTCAGATGTAGTTAATAAATATGTCATACTCGTTGTACGAGAAAAATACTACAATGACAATGACAGTGCAATATGAACTCAAGAACATTAATATCGTCAACCAGCTGAACGCGGTTTCTCGTTGGCGAGCACTCCTGGAGAATTTTTGACGAATCTGAATGTCTGTGCTGGGATTCACAAGATCTCGTTGGAACGGGACAACTACGGCTATCTCCTTGAGGTTTTGCAGAATCCGTCACGTGCAGATCTTACCAAATGGGGTTGCAGTCTGAAAGCCCACGTGCGTGAAGTTGAGCAAGTCGCAGCACAGCAGATCGACGCATGCTATTGTGCGTTTGATTAAGGCTTACCCTAAGTTATCTTCTGAAGCAAAAGTATCTTGGAGCTTTTCCATCTCCATGAGTGGAAAAGAGACCGCCCAGAATGAATCGCAAGATGGATTCGGATGAGCGCTAATCTGATCGAGTGTCCACGGCGGCGCAAAAGCTCCGAGACGGCACAAGCAGTATGCAAAATCCACTGTCGATCGTGAGCGCTTCGACTGCATTGCTCTCTTTTCTGGTTGATCTCTACTTTTATTCGACCGAAGGCGAGGATGTTATGATTGAATGGCTGGATGTTGATACTCGATAAACTGAAATAAGCAAGTAAGTACTTAAATAAAATAGAATATGCGAGATACTGAAACTGAAAGAAGAGCAGCGTAGTGACTCTTGTTTTACTTCCATTTTTAGCTACTCGTCGCTTACTTCCAGTTTTCGAATACTTATTTGAATTTTTAGAATCTATCAATTTGTAGCTTCCTCCTCCGTAAATCAAACCGTGGCTTAACCTTTTTACTCAATTTGCAGACCACAATAACAACTATACTAACTACTTTTTTGATTTACGTTCTCCTTTTCCACCATTTCCACCAGCTCCACCCTCTCGTTCTTCATATCTCTCGTAGCAAAGATATCAGGGTCTGCGGACATGAAGCATAAGGCGCTGTCCAACGCTCTTGGTTTGTCGATTCCATTGCTTATCCAGTTGCAATCCGTGGACGAGAAAAACGAGGCCGAACTCTGGCGCAAGCACCCAGAATATTCACGACTTAAAAGAGACGTCTATACAACCTGCGCGAGCGCTTTGCTGCGAACAGCGATGAAAATTATGAAGGGTTGATCGCGTTATCTTCAGAGTTATTTTTCTATCAGCTCATAACTCAACATTGTGGTCCAATAGTTGTTCAAGGTGCTGTTTCCATTTGCAATCACAACGCAATTTTTTCATCAAAGATAGGTCACAGTCACTTGGTGTGTTGTAATTCCTTGTTCAACATTTTCGTGCTTCGTTCAAATCATTAACTACGAGCGTTGATATGTATCTTCTTCTCCTTCATTATCGAGGCCAAGGAGCCGGTGCTTTTCGTAACGAATATCCTGATGGGCCGATTTTGCACGATGCTCGGTCCAGACCTGGACGCTCGATGGCGGTGGATGAAAAATCCTGCGTGGAATACACTGCAGGAGTGGCCTTTCGGACTCGTGCATCTCTGCGCGTCAGAAGCTTGGCAAGCATTTGTAAACGAAGACATTGATAGAGCCATGAGAAAGTGAACGAATAAATATATGTTCGTTTTTGTTGTGTTGGTTTGTGTAATGCTACTATGAATGTGCTTTTTGATATTCTGATCATCTTACTATTTCCTTCTTTTTCACTGATTATTCTGATCAATCTAATACATCACAACTCACATCACGAGTCAAAAGAACGACTGGGGAATCGCTGAAGAAGGGCAACGTACTAGAAGAAAACCGAGGACATTTGAATTTTTAACATCACTTACTCACCAGCAGGAAAATTCGAGAGGATGATCCCTAGACTACTTTTCTTGTGACGAAGAGGTTTGTTGTATATGTTGCACTTGGAGATATCACAAACGAGAAGATAGACGGAGAATTACAAGCCCGAGGAGCATCTCCTCGTGTTCGTGTTCTGCTAGTGGGGATTCCGATCCGGGACGCGAATGCGGTGCTCGGACCAGTGGGCTCTCCCACTGGAAAAGTCTTCTAGAATCTACTGCTTGAGTCTTGTTTTTATTGCAGGGCACGGCACCCGAATTATACATAGTTATACACTCCCTCTACCTCCTACTTGTCTCGGACTCAAGTGTGTGCGTTTTGATTAAATGAACCAATGCAGGTGTAGCTCTCGATATAGATTTAAACTAAACGCTGTCTAGTCCCTTCAGCATTATTGCAGGGCACGGCGCTCTTTTATTTCGTTGAAGATTGTCTGTGTGTTTGGAGAAGCGTGAAGAAATAGTTCTCGTCGAGTGTTGTAGTCCTGAAGACGATAGAACACGATAGCAAAAAGTCAAGAACTCAAAGGACCACAAAATTTTTAGGTCAGCGATTCTTATTTCCCAACACTCTCTCAAAGCTGGTTAAAGTTAACCTTGTTGCGAGGCAGTGCATACTGTTCTTTCATCTCACTCTCATCTCAAAATTGTCAAGAGTAAAAAATGCCTACATGGGGATGATGTTGTTGAAGATTGAACACGCTTTTTCTTGCAAACGCTGACACACGATATTCGATGTTCCTTGAAGAACACACAAAATAAAGATAGAGAATGGATCCTCCACGTGAATCGTAAAAGCGGAGCGATACGGATTCGGGAATATGCCAAGCACCGCGTTGTCCTTCATCGATCAGGGCCTTGCTTCGCTTTGCGACGTAAGAAGACCGTTTGTCGGACGGCAACATCCGCCAGCAGAAAACGTTATGACAAGGTTTGACTACTGAACATGATTCATTCTTACCATTCATCATGGCGCCAGCATGTCATCTAAATCTACCTCAGACTTTAAGGACTGCCCGACAGTATCGGTAACAAATCATCATCATTCTATAAGCTTGACCCGTGTGTGCAGGCGGTGAACCTACACGGCAACCGGATTCGACAGTTGGACTTACGGGACGTCGCGTTTTTGTTTCCAGAGTTAAAGGAACTTGTTGTATCGAGCAACGAGGTTCAGGAGCTACGATTTTCGGAAGAAGAAGATGTCGTGGATCATGCCCCGAAGAATAGAACAGGAGACTGTGAGAGCAGCGAGGAAAAGATACCAGATGTCGCTGGTTCGCGCCATAAAGACGATGCCGAAGCGAACGCGAAGACTTCGACGAGACGGTCGAGCAGCGGAAAGAGGCACGACGGAAGAATGCCCAGCACAGCTGCCGCATCGTCGACAGGAGGGAAGACTAAGAACAAATTGTCTACTAAGGACCGAAAAAAAGCAGTTGGCGAAAACGACCGTGGCGAGTTGCATGGCACGGGAGAACGAGACGTCGATGTTGGTCAACAGATGAACAAGAGACAAGAGGGCGCCTCTTCGCCACCAGCGCTTGAAGTGCTAGATTTGAGCTGCAATCGGGTTGCCTCACTCTCCGCGCTGTACTTTCTGAAAGGCTCACTAAAACGTTTGCTTTTGCCCTACAACCGCTTGCACAGCCTGGAGGCCCTCAAAGCCTTGTGGGGCGGGCCACTAGTCGAGCTTGATATCCGGAACAACAGAGTCTGTATGATGCCACTCATTGAGAACGAAGATATGTTGCGAATGTCGTTCCTAAGTAAGAAGGTCAACGTCAAGGGGGAACGAGGACATTCCCCTATCGACGCCATTCTCAATGAGTGGAAGCATTCAGAGTCGCTTCACTGGAGCAGTTACTTTTCCTCTCGGGCCTTCGCTGTCTCGCGAATGCGCAACTCGCACCCAACCCATTTTGTGCAGCGAACTTTTCGACAACCGTTGCAGCAGGTGGACGTCACACGGCTGACCAGAACGACACAGTCGCGGAAGGTGAGTCCAAGTAGCAAGTCCTAGTAGTTACAGCGACTTTGTCTCTCCTAGTTTACTCGTACTCCTTACTTATTCTTTTCAAAGTAGCATATAGTGCATAGAAGCAAGAAGTGGCCCGTGATCATGAAGCAGGTAGTGTCTCCTTGACCTCATTACGATTCAGGTGGAACAACGTCGTTAGCGCGCATGCCACTACACCGATTGTGCGCTATACAGCTGGTTCCGAGCATAGAGTCGATCGATGCTGTCCATGTCGGCGAGCACGAAAAAGAAACGGCCAATGCGAGTCCATTTGTGTTGCTGTCTGGGCTGTCGACATCTGCTGCTTCAGCAGCACCCACTCCGCCTCCACTGTTGATGGCAACGCCACCACCTCAGGCGGCTTTCGTAGGCGGGTCTTCAGGAGCAAGCGCAGTTCCTGCAACGCCGGCTTTGATGAATGGAGGTATGCGACGGGCAACAAAAAGCGACGACGCTAATCCGTGGGCAGATGCACAGAAGGGACCTCGGGATCAACGGATCACGAGCAAAAAATCCGCTAGTAGAAGCATTAGCACGCACGATGAAATGGAGATTGAGGGCGAAGATCAAGAAAGTGCTTTCACTACTAAGCTCCCAGACGGTTTGCCGAGTGAGGTTCATGTGGCAAGAACTGAAAGTGTGAATAGTGCCAGCACTGTTAAGTCACGCGCAGGGGGCTCAAAAGTCGTAGCGACGGCAATCGATGAGGAAAAGCTGCGAGAGGATTTGCTAAAGATCGACGCAGAATTCACGAAACGAGAGCGTAAGCGAGTCGAAGTTGAAGCTCGGCTGCGAGAAAACAGTAAGATTGTGGAGCATCTTCTAAAGGAAAACCTCGATCTCCGGCAGAAGCTAGAAGCCTCCGAGACTGCACTGGCGCAGCTCCGCGTGAGTTTAGAAATAAATGCAAATCGCACAGCGGCATCTGCTTCACCTTCAGATGATGAAAACAGGATGGGCCTGGAACATGGAGCGCTCGACGAAGGTCTTCAAGCAAATGATACTGCTAAGTCTCAAGCGTCAACAAAAGAGCTGCTCCAAGAAGCACAGCGGCGTGCTGAGGAAGCAGAAAAGAAACTAGCAGTCGCACAAAAGGATGCGGAGACCGCACAGCGCGAGAAAGCGGAACTAAAAGCCGAGAGCGAAAAAGTTTTGGCAGATTTGCAGGGTTCCGTGCAGGAAGTCAGCCGAAGGATGTCTGATCAGGACCGGTTTTTTCAGGAGAGCTTGCTCGCGGAGCGCGCTAAATTCGGACTGGAAAAGCAAAGGCTACAGACGGAGCTGACGACAGTGGGTGAAAAGCTCGCAGCGGTGGAGGCTGAGGCTAAGAGAGAACAGCAGCGTGTGCGCGACACCGAAACCGAGGAACTGCGTAGCACCCGACGTGCCTTGGAGGAGACGCGGGACTCCCTAGCTTGCCGAGACGCGGAAATTGTGCGCCTTGGAGATCAAATCGAAAAACTGCGCCAAGAACAGGTGCACCAGCGGCGCGAACTCCTTGCGGAAGCGGAACGCAAACGCGATCGCGTGCTCGACGATAAGGATAGAGAATTTGCGCAAAAAGTGGAGACGCTACGCGTGGACACAGACGTCGTCGAGCGCAGAAACACTGAGCTCACACAGGAACTTGTCCGTCTGCAGACGCAAATTGTTATGCAAGGTGAATGAGGATTTAGGAGGCAAGTGCAAGTGTTTTCTCACATGCTAGGGCTCAGCACAAACCTGCTTCACCGTACTGAATTCGAACGCATCTACTTCTTGTTGTAAGTACTAACAGTACAGAATCACCCTTAGTCAAACGCTGTAGTACTCCTGAATGTTTTTCGTTCCTCTTCATTTATGCCCAAGACGTGACCCGAGAGCGTTCAGAGCGCGCACAAGCTTTGGAAGCGGCGCGCTTGGCAGCGGAGCGTAAGCAGCAGGGACTAAGAACCGAGTTAGAGCGCCGCCTGCAGCAAAAGGAGACAGAAGGGGAACGCGCACTACGGGAGTGTCTCTCGGAAGCTCGAAATGCCCTCACTGCGAAAGAAGACGAATGGAAGAGGCGTCTCGACAGAGCATCGCGGTCAGCTGAAAATTATGGTGTGGCAGTACTCGTCCTTGTCCTTGATGAATTTGATTTTTGTACTTAGAGTGAGATGAATATGAAATTTTTGTAATTGTTCTTTGAATCGGTCCATTATACCAATCTCATACGGTACACGTACTTCTTACACATCAACCTACTTGTTGTATGGAATTTCACTCACGAGTAGATAATTGGCCTGTCCAATAGTTGGTGCACGTCAGCTTTTCTCTCTCGCATGATCTGAGGACCGTCTAAGCAAAGCTTGCTGTAGAGAAGGCGCAGTTGTTGGTGCTGCTTGAAGAGGCGCAGAACGGGCGCGAGCGAGAACGTGCACGCGAGAAGGAAGAAAGCGCACGTGCGATTAGACTCGCGGTCAGCGAAGCCGAGCGCGCGTTGCGCCAGAGTCTCGAGTCCGAGGCTGAACGCAATCTTGCTGCCACTGAGGAGCGTCACGCCGACGCGCTACGCCGACTAGAAGGCGAACGGGACCGAAAGGCGCTCACAGACCGGGACGCTACGGAGCGCCGCGTAGCGGAACGCGAGCAAGCGTGGCAAGAAGAGACTGAGCGTGGATTAAAGGAGTTGGAGGCGCAGTTCGAGAAGAAGTTGGCAGCGAAACTCAACGCTCAAAGAGCAGACTTCGAAAACGTTGACTTGAGATTAAAGCAAGTGCAGATTGAAGATCTCACGAAGCAGCTAGCAGAACAAACGGCAGCAGGAAAAAAGTTAGGTCCATGCATAGATTGAGTAGCAGCATCTCGATTTGATCTAGCCTTTTTCACAAACATCGTGATCTTCATTGTGCTTGAAATGGTTTATAATTTCTACCTCTAGAAGTTGAATATGCTACTTCTGCCTAGTAGAGCTTCCTACCTCCTCGTCTACTAGCTCTAGACGAAGTTCGTGACGAACAAAGGAGAGATGAAGCTGATCCTTTGTTCATTGCTTGCCAAAGACGACGCAGCAGAAGCGAGGAAGAAGCGGGATAGAGACTGGCAGGCGAGAGTAGACGAAGAGGTCGCGTTGCAGCGGGCACTTGAGGCCGAAGTTTCGCGATGGAAGGGCGAGAAGGAAGCCGAATTAGAGCGGTTGGAGGCTGAAAAAATCCATCTGGAGCAAGAAGTCGAACGACTGGAACAAGAAAAAGCCGATGAAGTGCCAGAAAAAGAAGCTGCTGCAAGAGAGCAGGGAAGGGTCGAAGGACGCGAGGAAGGAAAGGTATAGGCCATGCAAGTAGTGTTACTGCGAGGTGAAACGGTGACGGTCAATGAATTGGTTCTAACCAATTTGTGCCTCTACCTGTAGGTACGACCACAAAGTTGAACAAATCGTCCTGGAGTATAACTATAAATTATAAAAAGTTGCCTGGGCGGTGGTTCTGTTCATCATTTTTCTATCTACTTACAAGATCTACATCTACTAGTCAACAATCAGCACGATGACTTTTTCAACAGGTATCTTTTGCGCAACAGCTAGCGGAGCAAAGGGAAAGTATCACCAGAAAGGCAGAGGAAGAGTTGGTCGCCTTGAGACGGCAGGTGTCTTCCTTACAAGAGACAGCGAATACGCGAGGAAACGAGCTAAAAATGCGGGAAAAGGAGATCAAAGTACTCCTCGGAGAACTAGAGAAGCAAAAAACCGCAGTCAAAGACAAAGTTCGCAACTTACTGCAGAATTTGGAACAATGATTACTTACATACTGGAATAGAGATGGGCAGTGGCAATGCTAGCTCACAGTTGGAGATCAGATGGAGATGGTTTTCTTTCTCATTGTTCATTCTTCGGCCAACTAGTAGTTAGAACAGGGATTCTTTCCGAACGACTGTTGTTGACATGATGATGCCGCTGAGCTGCAAGAGATCCCACAAAGATCATGATCGTGTATCATGATGGACGCACCTTGTATTGTAAATCCACAAGTACTCCTACACGACGACGACTGAGACTTTATTATGGATGACTTTATCAAAATTTGAAAAATTGTCGCACAAGCAAGACATTGTGTTTGAACGTTCTCGGGCGGTAAGGAAATTTTAAATTTGTTCAACAAAACGCAAATGGACGACTACCTTTTCAAATCTCCCAACACTTTCGATCTCAGCTTCTTTACACCATGCGAAACGTTCAGGAAAGTGGGTCCAGAATCAATAATGGAATGGCAAGATCCACATTATCGCCGAGGCAGTTCTTAGGGATCAACGATTAGTATGTGGCGGGTCGGTTCTTCGAGATTCTTGTGCTCGGCCTCAGCCCCAGGAGCTGCACTTATTACGCTATTAAAGAAAATAACATCTCTGCAAAAGGAGCAAAACGCGATTATGCGGATCCTATAGTTGTCCTTGTGGCCGATCTGTTCTTGGTGTTAGCATGACTATGACATCTTGGGTCATCAATAACCAAGGTGGCATGGAGATGGACATGGTTGAGGTACTGACGCTGATGCACGTTCAACCTTTCGATTACTACTATCAAATGATCCCTGACTTCAAAGTAGATTGAGAGATTCTTGCGTACACGATAGCACTTTCAGGAAGAGGTCTTTTTCTTTTGTCAATGATGTGGATTTGAATGTTAATTTCCTCCGAACTAGTCCTTGCGCGCGAACGCTTGGGCATAATGTGTAGTTTGGTATGATAGTTTCACAGTAACTACAAGCACTACATGCGCACAACATAGAGAATAGTTCCGACTTGTTTAATACAAAGACACCGCTAAATTTGAGAGGACAACTACAAATCTGAGTCATACAACTTGTTGTCTTTTCCTTCAAGAAATCTTAGTCTTCCTAATAATTTTATGCCATATATAATAATTCTTTCTTCAACGATAACAAAAACGTCATGTCTCTCGTTTGTTCTTTAACGGGGCGCATCCCGTTCGAACCCGTGGTCTTGCGACCGAGTGGGTATCTCTTCGAGAAGTCGGTGCTTGAGGAGAGGTTAGAGGCGAATGGCAACACGTGTCCCATCAGTGGGGCCTCCGTGGAAAGCATACTTCCGGTGAAAACGGACGGTGCGCTGTCTCTGCGAACCGTAACGGCGGCGAATTTGCCAGGTGTCCTCTCAGCAATGCAGCAAACATTTGACGATATGCTGACCGCGTCCTTCAATAACAAACGCGATTTGGACAAAGCAAAAGAGCAACTGCTTCATGCGCTGTACTTCTTGAGTTTTCGTTTATGGTCAATGATTTTTCAACGATTTGTGTCAGTAGCAATTGGAATATAAAACTAAATATATGCAGAATAGAGCTCTGACTGGTTGTACAACAAGCCATTTCCTGGAACAAGAGGTAGTTGTCGTATACGTATTCCACCTTGTGATTTTTTATAGGAAAAAACAACAGAACAAGTCCCCTCAATGCAGTTAAAAAAACTTCTCCACCTCGACCTCCTCCTCCCCGAACATCACGATCAGGCACCAGCACGATGCAGCTACGAGGACTATTAAGCGCATACTTGCCGAGCGTGATATGGCACGAGCAACAGTGAAGACACTAGAGGTTAGTCTACAGCACCAGAGGAAAGTTTTGGGTGCTGCAGCTCCAGAAAAGGCAGCTGAGGTGCCAGAGGCGATAGGTACTTCTAGTACAACAAAAAAGAACTACTACTGCTTAGGCAAAAAATAGGATGATTTTTTTTTGAGTCGGCTTCGTATTCATAAGCAATATGAACGGCTACGGCAGCTGCATGATAATTTATAGTTTTGTATTTTGCTTCATCGATCAACAACGTCGTCCTTTTACAGCACTTTACTAATGTTGCGCATTACATAAAACTAGGCTTCTCCGACGAGTGGCGCGCCCGCGTGGCTGAGTATGACCAGGCTTTCGCGAAAAAGCGAAAGGAAGGTGCTTACAAGGAGCAGCATAAGCAATTGACCCCAGTGATGGTAAACAAGGAGATGCAGCAGATTTACCATTTTTCCGATCGGCACCAGGCTAGCGCTCCAGGTATCAACTGCTGCGCGCTCGACCCTGCAGACAACAACAACGTACTCACTGGCGGCGTCGACGGCCACTTGGAAGTGATCAATGTCCAGGTGATGGCAAACAACTATCTCCAAGGGGTTCAGCGTCCGGCCGAATCCGTCAGACTAGCGGCACACGAAGGTCCGATTTCATGCTGCGGCTTTCATCCAGCAAAGAGCTCCGTCTTACTCTCCGGATGCGAAGACGGCGTCGTCAAAATTTGGAACAAAGATGGTACTATCTATACATGGAAAATTTTGTTCCTATTAAATGATTTTAATTTTTCTCATCTTCTGCTATTCTTGTTTCCACCTTCATCTTTGATGATATTTCTCAAAGAATGAAGAAACTCAAACTTTTTAAGATACTTATAAGTACACAAACTACAGCACTCGGTCGCCATACTGAAGCCTATGCTTCTCCTGAGGGACTGCACGACGGTGGTGTTAGAGATATGAACGTACATCCGATCAACGAGTTGCTGATCACAGCTGGAGCACGCAGCATAAGCTACGTGGATATGAACACGGGAGATTTGCTTAGATGGATCAACGAATTCCCAGGAAATCATGGAGAAATTTCGCAGTTCAAACTTCACCCAAACGGTATACAGGGATGTTGATGCTGTGTGTTGGTTTACTAAGTTGTAGAGTGGATGTTGTGATGTCCGAGGAGATATGGATGAAAAGTTTCAGCAATTTGCGTTAGTACTAACTTGAATTTCATCGACAGCTGCAATGAATCTAAACGAGATGTTCTCACTAGTACGTCTTCTAATTCTCTTTGTTGGCTCAGGTAAAGCTGGCATTGCCGCAGTGGGTCGTTCCATTCAGCTGTGGGACATCGCGGGCGGATCGCACACTCGGTGTCTCACATTGGACGGTGAAGAAGAAAAGGTCCACGATGCAGACATCACTGCTCTCGCAGTGAGTCACAACGCGATCAATGTGGTGTCCGGTTGCCGCAATGGCGTAGTGCGCTTGTGGGACTTGCGTAAGCAAGACCAGAGCGTTTGGGAGGAGGACTTCAGCAGGGGTAGCCAGGGTGGCATCAACAAATTGCGCTTCGACCCGGTGGGCCACTACCTTGCTGTAGCCCACAGCAATGAGATGCTGGACGTGGTTCACTTTGAATCCAAGGCGACTCTTGCAGAAGTCTGTAGTTTTCCGAGAGCACATAGAGGAGGCATGGTGATGGACGCTGTGTTTGCGGATCGCGCACAATTTTTAGTATCCGTTGGATTGGACCGATCCATCAATTTCTACCAAAGCGAAGGACTAAAGGACTATTTCGAAGAACCAGACACTAAGCGCTTGCGCTCGGAGGAAATCTAGAAGATGTGACATTATGCGTGGTATCTTTGTCCGCATGTCCAACATTTTCCATGTGCTTCGGATTTACTTATATTTATGTGAACAAGTACTAACAACTTGTCGTGAAGATAAAAATCTGAATGAAATAAACGAGGTGGCCTCAGCTTGCCCACACACACACGAACTCTTCCGAAATACGCTACAACAGTTTCAAGAACAATGTCTTTGTCTTTGACCACCTCCTCATATAGGCGCATCACACAGCTACACGAAAATAACGATTGAAAACGCTCCTGGCGCTCGATCACCCCTCACCAGATTACATATCATTCTGTTTGATGTTCGCGGTTTCGCACAAGCGTGGGCCGCACTGAGAGAGAAAACGCGAAATTTGGAGTCGTCGTCCCGAGCGAAGAGGCGACAGATACAAAAAGAAAAAAAATGACATACTTGATCTCGTAGCTTCATCTCCATCGCATAGCAATTTAGAGATGTCTATCGGGGTCGGCAATGATCGTCGTCGTCCTAGGAGGACGGCAGAACAAACACAAATAGTATTGGTAAAATGATACAGAAAATGAAGAACTGGACAGACCTAGAAGCCTGGGAGAGATAAGCAGCTCGGTTTACAAAATCAAAATTTGGGATTATTTAACAAAATCAAAATTTAGGACAACCATCGATCGGATTTGCAAATGGAAAAATCAAGATGATGATGAGCGCAACCAGCGGAGGTGGAGCACATGGCGCAGGTGCGCGGTCTGCACAAGCCTACTCGCCGGAAGACGATTTCTCTGTCGGCGACGTCGAGGAAACGCCCTTTAGCTTCAATGTCCCATCTCACCGGCTCAGCGCATCGATAGGATCCTCTATCGGGAGTCTGAACAACTACTTCGCGAATGGCGGCCGACCCGGAGTATCTGCGTATCAAAATCAGAGTGCTGCTGTTCTTGGTGGTGGAGCTGTAATAGGAGGTACTAGCGCATCAACATCTTCGAGCAATCCATTTGCAGGAACTTCTACAATCCCACCTTCAGCATTCCAGAAGCATGATTTGCTGAGCGGGCCCGACGAAGCTGGTGGTGGCGGTGACCCGGCGGAATGGGAAGAACAGCGGATTCGATCGTTTGGTAGTGGTGCGCCGGGACGCGTCTTGCCGCCACCGAAACCGGTTGTGACGAGCGTCGGCCGGATTCCAACTCGAAACGTAGGCGACAGTCCGAGCGACGATGTTCTAGACGATGTTGCTAGCGTCTCCTCGAACACCAAAGTCGAGAATCACGTTGCAACCAGTGCGAGTAAATTCGCGAAGTACACACCTGGAGTTAGTATGGCGAACTCGAACAGCGTGAAGGTGAAATCACGCGATCTACTCGACCGAAATCACTCGGCTTCACCGTTTCCGCTATCGCAAGGCTCGTCGCCCATGGTCCCTATAGTCGCGAATCTCGTTTCCTCCTTTGGAGGTGGCGCAAACGCAAAGTCCGAATTAGCCGCACCTTCCCCGTCTCAGGTGTTAGACGACAAAAGCGGAGCAGCAGTTGAAGATGCGGATAATCGCGCTGTACAACCGGACTCGACATTTATTTCGCTACGAAAATTTACCCGCGCTGGTGGCCCTTTGTTTTTTGTACCTTCTGACCTTAGCAAAATCAACGGCGGAGGAGGTGGTGGCACTATTGCAGATGCAGAGCAGAGAAGTGTGTCGGCTTTGGTCAGACAATTCGAACGTCGGACTTCTCCAGAAAAGGAGAACCCATCGAAACAAACGGAGGACCAAACGACTGGAATAGAAAAGCAAAATACGACGAACGCGTCATCTTTCGTAGTCCCGGCGCCCGAGATGAACAGCACAATTCTAGGATACGACGCAAATGCAATTGAGGAAGGTGGACAAGCAGCTGGAGGAGGAGGTAGAGGGTCCTCTCGAGCAGGAATAGGAACTGCTGGTCTTACTTCTGCCCAGAGCGATTCTGGCTCAGCGCGTAATCGCAACCTTGGAATCTTTCCAACTGGTGGAGTCTCGATTTCTCCACCAATAGAGGTAAGCCACGATATCACCAGTACGTACCATTAGGGGTTGGAAGTTGACCTCTCTATGTGCGCATCTCTATGGCTTCTCTGAGTAGGAAAGGCATAACTACGCGAGCTAGAGAGGTCAACTCTCAGCCCCTAATACCAAGTCGTGGCTCCATCTACTAACGCTGTTGGCGGACCGTCACCTTTGATACGAAGGGTCGGAGCAGCAGTCCTAGGTGCCTCACCTAGCGGGACGAATCTGTCCACACCTACAGTCAAAATCGATGACTTGTTAAATGCCGGAGGTGCGGCAGGATATCCCTCAACTGGGGGAAAAAGTTTCGGTTTCGGAAGTAGTGCGCGTCATGGAGCAGGAGCATCGCTGGGAGTCTTCTCGTCGCCATCCGGCGTACTTGGTGGAGCAATAGCACCATCACAACAGGCGACAGCTGGTCGCACCGGTGTGCCTCCCTTATTGGCAGACGGCCTGTCGCTTTCGCGTGTCGTCGCCGCACAAAGAGAACCAGCTTCTTCGGAACGTCCTGCTTCAGTTGCATCGCCGATGCCTTGCTTTTCTTCTCCAGATGCTGGTCGTGCATCACTAGGAGAGACGTCCAAGTTCCAAAACAACACGACGTCAGAGCCTGGTCAAAACGCAGTATCCGCTTCCTCAAGCTCCCAAGTGTTCGTTTTCAGTCCACCGGCAATGCATGTTTGCCTGAATCCGCCAGTTCTGGACCTCGAAAGCATCCTGAAAATGGGCTCGGCGCCGTTCTTGGCCCGCAGAATTGAGTCAAATGCGCAGAGTAGAACAGCAAGTAGTAGTAGCGGCGGTGCGAAAACAACTTTAGGATTAGGATCCTCTTCGGCGGGCATAGTTACATCACAAGAAGAACCACTACAACCGAAGACTGATCCTATGAGGATAAGCAGCTCTTGGAACACCAGCGGCGAAAAACATCAAGCGAATCGTGGCGAGATTCATCCAGGATCAACAAGACCACTGCTTTTTACGAGGAAACGTGCCGCAACCAGCGAAATATTTGCAAATAACAACCGCTCATCAACAGACGCCACTTTTCCGTCCGGAACCGGATTCGCTACGACAGGCGCGACGCGAACACGACGAGGCAGTGATAGTCAACAACAGCTGCATGTTGCGGAGCCGGCAGTGAAAACGACAAAAGCCTCAGGAGGGTCGCAAACCGATAAGAAGAATCAACTGCTGGAACGAATACGAAGATTGGAAGCTTCGGCTGCAAGTGTCATGGCAATATCCCGACTTGAACGCGAGGCCAAGAAGAGCGTACCAGTGTCAAAAAGAAAACAGCCTCTTTGTTGGACTTCAGGGCCAAAAAGGGTACTGTTTGCGTTTCTTGTACTAAATTCGAATCGTTTGTAACATCTTCCACCTCTACTGCTCCTGGTGATACAAAGGAAATTTTCAATTAAGGAAATTTTCAATTTTTGCTAGAAGTGCTCATCTATGTTCCTTTCTACAATCATCAGATCTTAGACTTGGTAAATGAATATCAACAGCTTCTTCTTCATTTCACCATGTTGACAGTTGTAATATGGAGAATCTTCGCCCACCGTCGTTGTACTAAGCTCCTGTAGAACTACATTTATGTTTGTTCTCACTCAGGTTTACTGTAGAACTACATTTCTCCTTCTCGTTCTTCAGGTACAACAAGGAACGCCATTCCTTGGGCGTTTTTCGAGTCCAGAGTCGAGGTTCAGAGGCTTTGGCACAACAGTCCGGTCTGATGTAGCTGCAGAACTAGACGATGCTTTGCGATCAGTAGAATTTCGTCGAGATGCCGTTCTTGATTCCTTTCTTGTTCCCACCTAGCAACTATCAACGTTGCTGCACCACATCATCATGACTTGGTAGTTCTCGTTTGTTTTTACGCCTATTCCTATTTAATTGCTCTGTTAGAGTTAGTATTCCACTGAATCTACTTCATGTACAAGTACAACTACCAGTACCAACTATCTCGTGACATAATTATTGACCTTGACATGTTGATGTTTGGTGGATTTGTTTGTTTGAGTACTTGTGATAAATTTAAGTGTAGAAGCAAGTTGTTTTTTTACGCTTCCTGGTGATCATCTATAGTCCCTTGAGCATCAAGAAAACTAATGCGACGAAAGCAGCCGAGTCGTGCACATTATCGATCCCGGCGATCTTTGAAGCACCCACTCCTAAGAAGGTCTAACTGGATGCTAGCACCTTGCAGAACCCTGTTCCTTCCTGGACTGCGAAGGGATATTGGAGTGCAAAGAGATGAAAGAGAAAGTTGGAGCAGATGGAGGCGAGTGGATTTGAAAGTGACTAGATTCAAAACGCAGAAATGAGAGTCATGATCATCAAAACGGCTTACTTTGCTCAGTTTCAGAAAGCAGAACAAAGGAGGGTGTAGCTGCAGCTGCTACGAAATTCATTATATTGATTCGTTTTCGTATCAGGACCTTCTCAGCATTATTCGATGTTGTGGAGGTAGAAATTCGTCGCAACAGGCATAGGTTCCTGTGTCGCCTGGGTGGTCTCTTTTAATCCAAACATGTGCATACCATAGAGTAATTACAGCTTTCTTAATTTGCAGCTGTTGAATCGTTCGTCCTCATCGACGGCGCTAGTGTCGCATGATATGGTAACTCGTTGGTCGATTAGAGATGTAAGTAAATACAGTAAAAAAAGGTGGGACTGGGATGTTGTTGTAATTAGTTACTCGATGATGTTGCTGATCTCGTTGTCACTCAATTAAGTTTGCGGCCTCGTATTGTTTCAACAGCCACCGTAAACGTAGTCGTACATCTTGATTGTTGTTTGGCGCGATGATTCTGAAATCCATGTTCATCTACACAAAATAGATTAAGTTTGTTTTTGAATGGTCATTTAAGTACTCGCTTCCGTAAGTAAAGTTTGTTGTCTTTTTTATACATAGGATCGTCATCGTGTGCTGTATAGACACAGTGGTGTATCTGTATGATGTAGTAAAAATATGAATACCTGAGACTCATGCCTTGTGGTGGGTCGTGTGTTGTTTGGTCTCAAAAAAAGTAGTGCTAAAGCAAGAACATGAGAGGTTAGAAGCAGAACAACAAGTTTATCCTCCGGTGTCGCACTTTGGCATGCCACAGCGCGACATGAGTCAAGGAGTGCAAGCAAAAGGTGGCTCTCTATTTGCTAGGGTGAAATGATTCCTATCGATAAAGGAGGAACACGACATCAGGCGGAAAAGAGGCGATCGTGGAGTAGAAGGAGATCATCACCAGAATAAACGTAGAAGTAGTAGGGTCCACTTCACGAAGATCTGGTATAAGAACGACGACTCATGATCGATATCGAAGCTGGCGTAGTTCAAAACAAGAAGAAGAATCAGATCGTCTTTCATTCCGAAGTTTGTGACACGGCCACTTGTTGACCTACTTCTACAACTACAACAAACTCCTGTAAGCGCTTCTAGTCCATCAATCTACGCCAGGGAAAATGTCTGCTGAGCGAGCGCGTTGCGGCCCGGCCGTGCTCCGGGAGGCGTCGGAAACGGCACCGTTTCTGCGAGATGCGCTCACTTCATCCACTGCTTCAGGTGTCGAAAATTCGAGAACATCTTCAGATGAGTTGCTACAACATTCAAGCTTTATGAAACTACAGCACAGTGTTGTTCATCTTCAGGTGAAGACCTCGTCGAAGTAAGTAGTAGTTTTCCAAAATCTCTACTTGCATCTCTGTGTGACGAGGATTACTTATCGAGGATGATGTAATTACCCCAAGTAGCATGGCATCATGCTATATTTACCTACAACATCTTTTTATCTTAATGCAGCGTTAGTGAAGGTAAACAACCTACAATCTTCTAGTACTAGTGACTGAAGGTAAACAAAAGATCATCATCATCATCATCATCATCATCATCATCATCGTCATCATATTTATCTACATCAACACTGTAACGCCTTTCAATGTTGAATCTTCCAATAGCAAAGGAATCTTTCGTAGAACCCTTTGTTTGAGCAGCATTGTATGTTCCAATATAATTTCCATGCTTCTAAGTCTTCACGCAGTGTCGCTAGTCGTCGAAGCTGTACCTCGAATCTATCCAGTGACGCCGATGTCGCGACTGACGCTGGCGGTGTCACAACGCATGTGGAATACAATAACAACGTCATTAGAGCATGGGTGTACACGCTTCTCAGCTTCGCCGTCGGCATGGCCTTGGTGCACATCACAAAGTGGATTTATGTGGTGTATCACTTCAACCACGCTCTGTGGCTTACAGTCTCGCATATGGTTGCGACGTACCTCATGTCAGTAATCGTCGTTACCTTCTTCTCAGACTACTTTCCCAAGCGACGCCAACTCAACTTCAGGGAATCCATCTTCCTCGTCACGCCGTTCAGGTACTATTTCAACTTGGTTTATCCGCGTAGTTACACTAATACTGCGACACTTATTCTTCATACTCCTGATGCTGCGATGAAAAACCTTCGAAAATTCTTGAAGGATCTTTTTTGTTTAAGTTTTTTACCTTCGATGTGTTTTCATAGGCTTGCTACTTGTAATTACCGGGTCAAAACCCATTCGAAGCTACTTAATAATGAACTTCCAATAGGGAGTTGTGCTGCTCCTTTCGAGGTTTCTGTGGACGGCCGAAAGAGATAGAAAAAAACTCTGGGATATTTCAACTTTTTTCGGCCGTCTCAGCAAGTTCTCCGTGGTTTCGCAGGGTTTCTCAGCACTTTTAAGAAGGCATGTCTTCGAATGGCCGAAAAAGATAGAAAAAATCCTTTCGATATTTCAACTTTTTTCGGCCGTCGTCCAAAGAACAAATCGTCTGCTGTGCTTTCCTGGCATCCAATTTATGTACTTCTTGGTAATAATTCAACTACCTCTTTTTTATTCTTGGGACAAGAATGTTCTACTAGATGAAGAAGTATCTAATCATGATCTCTCTCAGGGTCCGGTTGTCTTTTCCACTTCAGCTTGAACACAAATTTGCATCGCTGTCGATGAAAAAGTTGACCCCCGTTAATCTCGAATGACCAGATTTGTTTTTTATCGCCCCTTTCTAGCGCTAGAAGAAAAGCGATCTGTATGTCGCTGTCGCAGTGAAGTCAGTATAATTTAGTCGTGTTTTCTTTGATTTGTATGCTGATGAAAAAGTTGACCCCCGTTATCCTACATTTCCAGGATTTGTTTGATGCCGCCGCCTTCTAGTGCTAGATAAAGAACAGCCAAAAAGGCTGACAGCTATCAAACTACAAGGCCTGTTTTTCGTTTTTGTTTCGAGTGGTCATTTTTGGCAGTTGTGTTCGACGCCGAGTAGGCTTCGCTCCTTCACTTATGTTTATTATACCCAAAAGAAAAATCTTACACTCACTCATTCACAGTTACGCCTTGTATTAAAATAAATCTACAGTTTTTTGGGCGCTGCTTCGATTGGGTGCGGGAACATGGCCTTGGTGCACCTGTATCCATCGTTCCATCAAATGTTGCAGAACACAAGTCCAATCTGGGCTGTCGTTTGCGCAATGACGTTTGCAAGCAAGCGCTTCAACGATGTTGCGTACATGTCCCTCATTCCAGTGTGCGTAGGCGGCGCGCTCGCAGCTTGGGGAGAACCTAGCCAGTTTGAATGGGTAGAAGAACTGATTTTACATTTTTAACTAAACTAGAACCTGCACTTGTACTTGTTCGCTCTAGAAGTAAAACTTGTTCTTCATGTAGTTCTTGATTGTGATCATATCGCAAAATAGGGAACAATGCAGTGCGATAATACTATATAATTTTGATTTGCCTTCCGATATTGATATCCATATGGTCCTTGTTTGATGTGACTCAACAACAAGTATGTTGGATACAATTCACAACGAACAGATTGGCGTTGTGTTGTCGATTGTGTCTTCTGTGCTGCGAGCTCTACGAGCGACTTTGCAGGGACTGCTAATGCAGGGACAGGAAAAGCTGGATTCCATCGCATTGATCTATTACTCCTCGCCTGTCAACGTTGCCATATTTCTGGTATTATATATATATAAGTCGTGGATACTAGAATGGACTACAGAAGAAGAAGCTATGATTTCATTATGAGTAATAGAAAAAAATCCTTTGCTCTCTGCTACAATTCTTTTTACATCTACAAATTGTTGCTGATAAATTCAGCTTGCTTCGCTTGTGATCGAAGGGAGCGCTCCTTGGGTCGAGATTTTAGATGTGCCAATGTCGGGTATTCTTTGGATTTTACTGGCGGCATGTTGCGCAGCGTGCTTCAACCTGTTGGGGTATTTGATCCTCGGCTACATGGGCGCAGTAGGTGCCATGGTCGTCGGAAATCTGAAGACGCCCACATCCATCGTGACATCGTATCTGGTGTTTGGGAACGGGATCACCACAATTCAAGTCTCCGGCTTCGTCATGGCAGCTGTCGGCACATACATATACTTATGACCAGCAAGAACAAGAAGAAGAAAATCATGAACACGATGTTTCTTGTAAGGATCTTGTACTTGTTTTGGCCTTATTAGAAGCTTGTTATGGACGAGGTTCAGGTTTCCTCGTTAAAACAAAATTTCAACAACAACAACAACAACAACAACAACAACAACTACATTTGCTTAAAACTAAAAGAAGTCTGCGTCCTACACCTTTAATGAATTCAGCTCATGGGCACGAGGTAAAAATGGTAGAGGACGCTGCGCTAGCCACGAAGGACCTTGTGGAGAAGAAGCGCCCCTTGCGTGTGGAAGAAGGAGTGGATACGGTTGAGCGCGCACGACTAAACCTCAGCACCACGAGTGCGACTGATATGGCTTATCTCGTAGTACATCTACAGGATATGGACGAAGTCGAAGTAGAAATAATATCTTCTAACATGATCATAGATGATTTCCTAATTTTTGCTCGCTAACTCTACTATATATAAAATATCAATATTGAATATTGATATTTTCTGAAAAAGAATTTTATCTTTTAATTCATCTCAACATGAACATCAAGAAGATTCTCATTCTTCTGCTCAAGTTATGTTGAGTTCCAGTAGTGAGATCCAATACAACGCAAATCGTGAGTGTACAATCCACCATGTTGTTGTCGAATTGATGACTCTTACTGCTCAACGTCGTGGTAACTCGTTCCATTTCCAATATTTCTAATTCTTCTTTTTCTGTTGTGAGCAGCAGTGGCCGAGCATTGTCTCTCGGAGGTAATTCCGATGCTGACCCACTTGAAGTTGTTATCCGGGATGATGCCACTTCTGAGCCGGAAGATGCACATGTGATTGGCATTCGAAGTGTTTCGACGTCGACTTCGAGCAGAGGTAAAAGAGATGCCAAAAAGAGTAGTCGGCATGAAAAGAAAACAGCAAGTTCGGACGACAGCACTAGCGTGTCTGGGTCTGGCGGTTCGGGGACGAGTGGTCCCGGGAAACAAGTAACCGCGTGCGAAAGCGAAGATGATATTGATAGTGACGACAGCGTTGAGCTCAGATCCTCAACATCAGGAAACTCGAGCAGATCCAGATCTGCTGGTGCTCTCTCAACGAGCTGCTACGGCGCGCTTTTGCACGAAGAAACAGTAGCACTAGACGAGGTAGAGCAAGACATCGGAGATAGCGAAGCCGAGGACTCTTCACACTTCAGTACAACTGCTGCAACTATTTACAAGAAGAATCAAGACGTCGCCCTCGCCATCGAATTCGAAGTCGACGAACAACATCAACATGATCAAGTCCTTCTAGCCGCGACTACTTCTAGTAGTGAAGAAAGGTCAACATCTATGGATGTAAAAACTGTACTCATTCTCAAAAACGAGACTAAAAACTTTTTTTATGTTGAGACTTCACCGGTTGGCGGGCAAGCCACAACGAGGGCCGAGCGCCGGACTTGTAGCAAGGGCACACACGTCGTGGCGCGCGAACCCCAAAGAAAAGCCAACCAAAACCACCAAAAGCGACACAAACCAACCCAGGAATCGGACGCCAGGGACCCGCCGTCTGCACTCTGACGCCAAGGAAGCGGCACGCGGCTCCTGGGAGCAATCTACCAAAGCAGCGCAAAATAGGCACCAACACCCGGCGAAACGGAGGCAGGAGTGGGCGCCGCGCTGCGGACCGAGAAGGCACTCAGCCACAGAGCCAGCAGCCGCCGCCGCCTGTCAGGTCTCGGAGCCCTTCAGCAGATTCACCCAAGAGCTGCGTCAAGGGTATCGGGCCCTACTGGAGCACAAACCAGGTGGCGGATTCCAGTGCTGGAGAGGCTCGAGGGGTGAACTAAATTGCATCTTTTTCCCAACGTCCGCGTCTCAGGTGTGTCCTAACCCTCAAAATTCAAAGGCTGAGAAAAAGATGCATTTTAGTTCGTACATAGGCGGAATCCAGTGGGAAAAGGCTCGCGAAGCTTGTCCAGATTTGCACGCGCTGGAGCCTTCCCAAATCTGGACCGCTCTCGGGAGCTTCCTCGCACTAGGTTCCTGCTCTCTTTGAATTAAAATGGGCAATCTTCTCAACGTCTGGATCTGAGGGGTTGAGTCACACCCCAGACGCAGGCGCTGCGAAAAGTATGCAATTTAATTCAAATCTCTTGAGAAGGTACAACAACACACGCGCACCAAGTCCCCAAGAGGGTCGCGCAGCGTCGCCGCTGTGCGCCGCCCTCCGAGGGGTGCTGCCTGCGTGGCTCTTGACTACTCCAAGAGTGGGCCTTGTTTCTCTTGGCATAGCATCGCTACGAGCTGTCTGGCGTGTGCCTCGTCACCAGCGACGCACATGAGCACCGGCACCCGCCGCGCGTGTGTGCGGGTGACTCCCAAGGGCAGCAAGGTGATGGCTTGGCGCCCGAGCCGCAGGAAGTGAGCGCATGGCGCCCTTGTTCTTGGGCTGGCATGTGTCGCTTTGGGTGGCTTTGTTGGACCTCTCTCCTGGGTTTCCCGTGCCACGCCGGCTTGCCCCCTCGCCGTATGGATTGCGCCCGGCGCCGGTTGTGAGTGGCCAGCCAAGCGGCGAAATCTCAACACGCGAAAAATTTTTGAGTCTCGTTTCCGAGAATGAGTACAGATTTTTCTTCCATAACATCAGCCTGCTCCACATCGCGCGACTCCTCGATGGAGGAAGGATGGACAAGAACGTCAACCGCGAATCATCAGCGCAAGAGTCACGGAGACCTTGTTTCGTCTGATGTGGCCCCTGGCGCAGCAACGGAAAATAAAACCTTCACTACTTCTCCAGGAAGTTGTGAAATAGAGTCTTTGGCGCGAGGAAATGTTGCACCTACTAGTAAAAACAGTTATCAATCGGCAGCTGGATCACAAAATCGCTGGGGTACAAGGGCAAAGAAGTGAGTTTGTGCCTATTGAAACTTCTCCCTAAAAAGCATCTCAATCCAAGATGGTGCAGCACATGCTAGTACTTCTCAGTAGAGGACGACAAGAGAACTTTGGAGTTCTTCTTGTCCGTCTCGTTCACATCCTGATATCATCTAGTCTTTCATAACATTGCTTTCCCGTATTTTTCCGCGTACGACAACACTTATGTCACAAGAGTAGATCGCGAGAAGTTCTGCGACAAGGAGAAAATGTTTGTCGTGGATACCAGTAGACGAGGTGGTACACAGTGACAGTAAGATAGAAACCAACATGAACTACAAACCTTGTATAGAAGCTTTTTTTCCAAACACTTGTGATGTTTTTAGTTGTGCGACCACGAAGTTGTAGTTGAAATTTTTGACCATAAGTACTTATTTCTGTTAGGCATTTTCATGCATGTTCGTTTTTTAATCATTCAGTATGACAGCACACGGAAGTACAAGACAACAAGAGCGGCACCAATGAACTACAGACTTTTAGTAGAGGGGAGGCTGGGACAACGGAGTGTCTGCCGATGCCGCAATACGATAAGAAGCAGCGCTAGTCTACTAAGCAAGTAGTATGGTTTCTACAACAAACGGAGACACAAGGCAGGAGCGGGACGAGGTACCAAGTGCATTACATCATAGAACAATTGTGCAACAACACATTGAAGAACAATGTAGTTTTTTGTATTCGAATTTGTGGTCGTAGCACCATCTACCGTAGTGTCTCTTCGTTGTTGTCGCAGCAGTTGTCGGACGTTTCTGATTGTTTCAGTCTTCCCAGAAGTCTACAACATAATTTCACTGTCTCGAAAGCTGGGCCTGCTACTACTGTGCAGTTTGTAGCCAGTGATGTCTGCTTCTATGTATGGGTGTTCAATCAAAGGAACAATTTGAAGAATCTCCATCTATTATCGTCCTCGTTGGTCATCTCTGTTATTACTTCATAAATCGTGAATTCGGTCAATGCTCCAGTCTCTGTTGCTACGTGACGATTAATACAAGAGCAGATGTCGATGACTGCCGTTCATTAGAACTTTTCGAGAATGAGATTGTAAAGATCTTACCGAAGATCCTGAAGCTCCTGCTCTTAGTTTTCATTTTATGCATCTGTAATTCATTTTCATCGCACTAAGATTTTTTTTACTCTAATGCTTTACCCCATTAAACATCAAAGTGAAATATCTGTTTATTTACGAGCCCTCCCGTTCGTTTTTCACCACTAGAAATTAGTGGAGAAAAGAAACTGAAAAGGTTTCAATGCAAATAAGATATTTATCTGCAAAACTCTCTTAACAAGAAGCTAACAGAATCATAGATTCTTTGAGTATATTGAGAAAAAAAAAGCTCCCTCGAAGATCAATCGATGTTTTTGCAAATATAAAGCGCTTACTTCTTGGTGTTATATTTATTAATAAATAATGTAAATGTTGTGTAGTTGCCTTCGGATTATCCTTGTTATGAAGCATGAATATTTATACAAGTACAACAACTCCTCGTCCACGTTCACCCGCCAGCATCCTCTACCACCTAGTGCCCCCGCCTACGATAATTTTTAGAACTTGATAGTCTGTCCTCCTAATGATCAGACAGACGCAACCATTATGAAACAAAGGATGCAGGTAACAGGCTCGATCTCGAACGAAAATGCGCAGAACTACACCTGGTCGCCATATACGACGGTTGTACTAGACTGTGGATCTCACTTGACGAGAGCCGGCTTTGCAGGTGCTAGCGACCCGCAGTTTGTCTTGCCGAGTGTGGTCTCAACCTACGTGAGTGAGCAGCGGAAATACAACTCTCTATGTGATTGATATGTTGAATGAACGAATGTGTCTAGCAGGTGAAGGCGTTTGCAGTGCCTTACTCTGAAAGTCTTGAATACTTCTTCTTTTTCGTTTCCTTGATTCTTTTTTCGCGGACATTTTCAAACAAATGACGTTTCTCAAGAATAACGGCCTGCATCTTTTTCTTCGAAAGCAAACCATTCGAAATAGATCAGGTTTTTCAAGGAAGTGATGGTGATCAGGCAGGCCCTAAAAGTTTCTGCTGCGGCATAGTCATAGAAGTCTCTTCGGAATTTACACTTACCAGTTTTAGTCTAGTACTACGTCTAGTACGCCTCGCGGAGGTGGGTTCGTTTGTTGTTGTAATTATGAGATGTTAAAAACTTTCACTTTTTCGTCCCCTTGTACTACTACGATTGGGTACACTACCACTAGTACTTTGCTAGCTCCTTTCAACAGGTCTTTGTACACGACCTGCGTCTTGTTCATATTGAAGCCTCAAGGGTGCTACAAGTGGTGGAGCCTATGGCACTCCGTCACGCACAGCGGATGCTGCACCCAGCGATTTGTCGTATGATATCGGACAGTTCGCGTACGAGGCCAGACACAGTCCCTCTTTCCAGGTGTCTCACCCAATAGGGAGCAACGGCGTGGAAGACTGGGACAGCCTCGAACGATACTGGTTTTAAGGTTCCTCCTTCCCCTAGTCCATCTTGTAAGTCACAGGCATCCTGCTCGTGGAGAAGTTTCATTTTCAAATTTCCTATCTACTTATGATCAAGGACAAGGGGAAAAACAAAAAGGGCACCCCACCCCCAGGAGGCATCTCAGGATGGATTAGGGCGAGATCTTCTAAGGGTTACAGCTCTTTTTCAAATATCTGCGTGTGATGCCCGACGACGCGGATGTTGTGCTCTGCGAGCCTCCTTTTTTTGGCGTAGAATTTGCGAAAATGGCAACCGAGGTTTTCTTCGATGTGCTGGGTGTGAATTCGCTCTGTCTAGTTCCAGCACCTGTATGCGCTTTGCATGCCGCCAGTGTCCAACTATCTGTACTTATGGCTTTAATTTCAATATGATCGATGAAGCAGACTCCACCGTCGGTCTTCTTCTTCCGTCTTCGAAAGCAGCATCTTGGTAACAAGACCAGGGCTTTGCTAGTCTAAAGAGATGAAAAAAATGCAGAGGCGGGTTTCTGGTACTAAAATATGGTCTAATGTGCCTTCTCCTCCAGCTGCAGCGTCTTTCGGCCTCGTTGTTGAGAAGGTTCACGTAGGCAGCAAGACGCTTTATTTCGCTCCCGGCGAGAGCTCAACAAGTACAGGCCTTGTCGTAGACGTGGGACATCGAAGTACGAGGTTAGTTTAAGGCATCCACAAATCCATCTTTCTGAGCACCTTGGCTCACTTTCTCAAGGGAAAACGGGGACCACGATGCCCCTGCGGATAGATTTGTGGTAGTTCTAATTAGTGCCTGTCGTAGAGAATATGCCGCTGTATGCGACAGGAGACGTTTTTCCTTTTGGCGGGCACCATGTTACCGAATACGTACATGACTGTCTGCAGGAGCGGAAAGAAGAAGGTAGATAGATGTTATTAGTCAATGTTTTCTCTTACTACCGCCTCAAGCAGTGCAATAGTGTATACTGTTTTATTTTTAGGCAACAGTTGTCTAAGTTTGAAGAGCATGTAATTGCGTATGATCATCTTCATGTTCTTATTTCGTACCTCTACCTCCAGGCTCGGGCTCGTCATTGGCCTGACAGCTGGCACGAAGTAGAAGTTTTTTACTGTAGCCTAATATCGTTGGAGACAACATCAAGCAACTTGCATCGATGTATACTATTCAATCATACAACCAGGCGTACCGCCTGAGATACGTCACGAAGTTGCGGAGAAAGTTAAAGTAAGCCAGGGCTATGTAGCGAAAGAGCTACAAAGTGAGTTCGAAAAATACGACGAACAGAAATTTCTACATCCAGATCCCCATGTTCGGAAGGAATCGAAGATAAAGTTATGCAACAAGGAGTATCAAGTATGAGTATCTGCATCGTTCGAATGTTTAACGCCGGGGGGAGCAAGTGGTTTACGTCTAGTGCTTTCTCGTTTTCTAAATCCTGATCTTCACTGCAATTTTGATAAATCACTTTGTTTTTTTAGTAGAAGTACACGACGCATATTTATTGAGGACGAGTCAGAACTTCTACTCAAGAAATAAATTAGTGACTAACTACTAATGACAGCGCCTACAATCTAAACAATTCATCACCTTTCTTATGGAGGAGTCGAAGTCTCCTTTACGCATACAAAGTACGTCATTTAATGTCGACAAAGTTTTCTCAGAGCTGTCTAATGCACGTGATGCATAAGCACGGGCGTCAGGAATGGAGCTGCGACGTAGGACCCGAACGCTTCCTCGGTCCGGAGATTTTTTTTCATCCGGAACTGTATTCAAGGCGTACTCGTGTCGAGGCTAGCAAGACCGTGGTCACGGCCACAGCTGCAGGTGGGTCCGGAAGCGGCGCTAAGCAGGGCTCAGTGAACAACAATCTTTATGACCATGGATTAGTCACATTCATCACAGACTGTTCTTAGGAAGATGAAAAGTTCAGGGTGCGCATGAAGATAAACCAGAGTGACGATTTTATTTTCCTTGTATCTACAAACATGATAGAACTACAACGAACTAGTACTACTAGAAGTAAGTTGTATGCTTATTCACGTTGATTCAGTATCTGTGTTCTTCTACTTTTTGTTTTTTCTGTACAAGGAAGAACATTTATTTTATGAGACTCCTTCATTTCTGCATTTCTGCTGCTGACGCGGTGATCCGCAAGTGTCCGATTGATTATCGGCGGCAACTCTATCAGCGCGTTGTACTAGTGGGTGGCTCATCACAATTTCAGCACTTCTCGCACCGATTTACTAGAGAACTGGGTCTTCGACTGAACACGAGCCAAGCAAGAAAAATTCAAACGGGAGTGGCCCCTTTCGTTAAGGCTTGAAGCGCCAGTTATCAGCTTTTTTTTATAAGTGTTGCTCTATTTCAAATCGGTTTGTCTTTGTTACTGTTAGTGATCGCTGGCGACCACCTTTATTCAATTTTGATTGGACTGAAAGTACTACTAGCACTCGGGAAAGGATCACATACTTAAATACCATGCGATGACTGTCGCGGCTGCTCCTGCATGAGCTCTAACTTTCCCTTGCCTGTTATGCAGCGCCACGCGATCTGGCACGGCGCGAGTATTTTCGCACAGACTGAGGCCTACAAACAAAAGAGAATTACAAAGGAGGTGTATGAGGAACAACAATTTTCACGCGCGGCTCGTGGAGGAGGAATTGGCGCGGGTACGAGTGGGTCGTTTGGGGACGATGAAATGCATCGACCACTGCGGAACAACTACGATAGTGCAGGTTCTTGTCCTTCCGCAGGAACAACTACTGCAAGAGCGGGAAATAAATCTACGTACAATAAAATTTTCTCTTGAGCAACGGAACGTGGAATCAGGAAGTAGAGCAGTGGGGAGGTTCCCCGCGCCCGACGTAGAGATGGGAATCCCATGATTTCGTATTTTAGAAAAGGTAACCTCTAGCTACAATTATATATACGTTTGTTTTCCTTCCTCGCAATTGAGTTCCATCTGATAGCGCAATGACTCAAATGAAACCAACAGCTGGTGAACAAGGTGCCCCGATATTTGTAAAACCTCAACCTACTCGAACTCGTACAAATAAGCACTCACTACTCGAATAAAAGCGATGGAGGAGATGTGTCTGTCAACCAATTTGGTGTCTATGCGGGCGAAGTTGATGAAGAGAGAGTAAAAAAGGTAATCCAGTCATTCCTGGACGACGAGTGTGAGGGACAATTTTGTACGTCGTTTTTAGTGCTGTAGAAAAGATGATGATTATCATCAAAGTCAAACCATTCAGCTCGGCTTGGTCACTGCATCACGTAAGAAAAAATATCTTCGCTACGTGACTGGTTGATGAAAGATGTATATTCCACTCAGGAAGCTGGAATTTTCACGAATATTTACCAAGAAATGGTGTAAACAGAAATTATAGTGAATTTTCATCTGTCCTGGAACTTTCATCTGTCCTGTTGCTGCGAGTAGATTTCATTCAGGATCGGTAACGTGGACCGTTATCTACTTACATCTAATTGGAGAGGAGCGCTGCTCTGCTCGGAGCGTACTTATTCTGTCAACGAATCATACCTCTGTAGTTGTTGATCATCTTCTGCGCGATCATATTAAGAGATTAACAAAGTGAACAATTATCTGGGTGATCATCACTAACTTCTGTTGTAGAGAGACATACTCAACTTTTGATCTTGAAAATGAATGGACGAAGTTGTTTCTTAGATACTTCTCGTGTCGCATGCAGAGTCAGGAGAGAGGAGATGATTAGACTCGTCGATGATGTACTCCTATAATATATTAGACGTCTTTACAGCGCTTGAGAGACTTGATTAAGCTGCTAGTACTAATTCTTGTCGAATTTTTGATTTTCATTTTCCTCTCCTTCAACAATCAAAACGACGCAGGGCATTTCCATTTTTCTAGCAATAAGTTCATTTTTGAAGGATTTTATTTGCCTGCACCGTAGACGGGCAAGAACAAACTATTATTCATTGTATGTCTCTGCCTTTTTCTTTAGAAAGGTGCCTAGAGTTTAGTACCCATGAAAGCGCTGTCATCTTTGCTCGATGGCGCAATCGGATCCCACCGACCTTGCCCAAGAGAGTACCTCCTTTTGATAACAGAAACCTGATACATCTGTAGATGTAGTGACCGCACACCACATGCTCCTGAATAAACCGTACAACACCATTTGTTGAAACAACTTGCCGTTGTTGTTCAGTGTCAAATTTTTTTCAACCTCTTTCGTTGGCTTGCTACTTCCGTTTTCGATGTAATTGTAAGATGAAAGTCTGATTACCTATTTCAAAATGGGTCGAATGGATGGTGCCGGAGAAGAGATTGGTGGCCCTCTAGAAGAAGATTCCTTGCCACAATTTGGCGCGTCCGGCAGCAAGACATCGTCTCGCAGCGGTAGTGAAACATCGTCGTTTTCGTCGCGCAGTGGAGCTGCTAGTCGTGCGAGGAGTACAACCTCGACTGCTAAAAGTCCCGGCCGCAATGACACGAAAGACTCCACCTCGTCTTCTTCATCTCACAGTGGAATAGCGGGCAAACTTCCCGAAAGGAGCCCGCGCTCGTCTTCATCTCGGCGGGAACAGGCTAAGCAAGGCGAAAGGAAAGCTTCGGCACGTAGCCCGCGCAATGACAGCAAAGACTCCTCGTCTATGTCTCAGAGTGGGATAGCTGACAAACTTCCCGACTGGAGCCCGGGATCGCTTTCGTCTCGGCGGGAACAAGCTAAGCCAGAGGGATGGAAAGCTTCAACACGTAGCCCGCGCGGTGACAGTAGAGACTCCTCGTCTTCCTCTCAGAGTGGGGTAGCTGGAAAACTGCCTGAAAGGAGCCCGCGCTCGTCTTCATCTCGGCGGGCACAGGCTAAGCAAGGCGAAAGGAAAGCTTCGGCACGTAGCCCGCTCAATGACAGCAAAGACTCCTTGTCTACGTCTCAGAGTGGGGTAGCTGACAAACTTCCCGAATGGAGCCCGGGCTCGTCTTCGTCTCGGCGGGAACAAGCTAAGCCAGAGGGATGGAAAGCTTCAACACGTAGCCCGCGCGATGACAGTAGAGACTCCTCGTCTTCCTCTCAGAGTGGGGTAGCTGGAAAACTGCCTGAAAGGAGCCCGCGCTCGTCTTCATCTCGGAGAACTCGCGCTGATACGAGAACAGCCTCACAAAGACAAAGGGGTGACGCCGATGCTTCGTCGGTAAGCAAGCCACAGAGCGATGGTCGTGGTGTCAGCAAAACGGGAGCAGTACCCGAGAGTGCTGAGAGAAAAAGCAAAAGGGGAGCCACAAGCTTGGTCGGGAGTGCGCCGCGTCGTGAAGGACCCCAGGTTGATCCAAATATTGAACCCCAACCTGATCAATCGCACACTCCTCTTTCCTCTGCTCGGAGTGGTGTTCAGAACTCAGAAGACGTTGTTGACGCATCGGGGGGTGAGCTGGAACCTACCGACCCTTATTGGAATGCCAAACTGATGGAGAGACGGAATCGAGAGGAGGCTCGTCTCTTGTTTGGAAGGAATTTTGGGGGGGATCATGATACCGTGGTGGGGCGAAAACATCAAAGAGCGCAGATGGAAATAGCCGAGGAACTGCAAAAAGTTTCAATGCGCATAAAGCTTCAGAGCACTGCTGCGAAGAAGCGTGAGGACGTTCTCAACCAGAACAACTACACGGTCGGAACCGCTCACAGCACCCTTAAATCTGCGCCGAAAGAGAGATATAAGGGCGGCTTCTACAAGAACGAGCAAGTCGCCGACGGACGCCGCGCGCCGCAGTCGTTTGAGGCGAACGAGCGCAGAGGTCGACGATCTCGCGCCAAGTGGAGCGACTCGCGCGAACAGCAACAGGCGCGGTCGTCGGTCGCCAGGGACCCCTTCACTCGGGATTTCATGCGATTTGAGGAACGTGACGCCATTTCACGCGAAGAGCTAGCTGGCGGACGAGTCGCCATGGATTTCGGACTGCTGCGTCGGGACATGGTTAACGAGAAGCTGGCCGCAGACGAATCTATGGGCTACCTCCAAGCCTTGGCGGGAACCTCTGCTAGGGAAGCTGGCGCCATGGCGAGGGACGGTGCACCATCGGAGCGACGCAAGCTTAATGGAAAATACGCGACGGAAGAGATGAGTCATCCGAAGAAGACCATGGACTTACGCAAAATTCTGAACCTCAACGGACCGCCAGGTACCGGAACACTGCGAGATTACACTGAGATGCGAGAGGGCCGCCGCCGCGGCAAAGCACCCGCTAGAGTGGACGATGCTGGTGGAGCCATGAAGCATGATCGTCGACGAGAACAACAAGTTCACCCGAGAGGTTTTCAAGAACATTTTGATATGCAGCAAGATGACCAAGAAGATGGTACAATCGGTAGTTCGCAAGATGACCAAGAAGATGTCACAACCGGATGTCCGCAAGAAGATGACGAAGAAGATGGTGCAACCGGATGGCCGCAAGAAGATGACCAAGAAGATGTCACAACCGGATGACCGCAAGAAGATGACCAAGAAGATGGTGCAACCGGATGGCCGCAAGAAGATGACCAAGAAGATGTCACAACCGGATGTCCGCAAGAAGATGACCAAGAAGATGTCACAACCGGATGGCCGCAAGAAGATGACCAAGAAGATGGTGCAACCGGATGGCCGCAAGAAGCTGGTGCAAGCGGGTGGCCGCAAGAGGATGACCAAGAAGATGTCACAACCGGCAGGCCGCAAGATAACCAAGAAGATGTCACACCTGGTAGGCCGCAAGATGACCAAGAAGGTGCCGGCAAGTTCGTCGACGATATGAACGAGCAAAAAACGAAAGAGAAGCAGGAACAACAACAAAGCGACGCACAACTTCCGGAGCGAGATGCGGACCACGCGACTAGAGTGGGCAGCAAAACCGGTAGCACGCTGAGGAGCGGAAGTTCCCGCAGGCCGCGCTCCAGTAGTAGTAGTGGAAGGACTGCTGCCACGAGCAGCAACGGCACTGGGAGGCGGGACACGTCAAGACAAGCATCTTCGTCCTCCTCGTCACGTGCAGGAAGCATGTCTCCCCGAGGACAGCATCCGCGCACACACAAGCCAGAGGGAAGCAACACTGCCCTGCGCGAAGAGTCAGGAAATCACATTTGTTCTGAACCTTCATCTAGCACTCGCACTGCTCCTTCGCAGAAGACTGGAGACCTCTCATCTAAGCGTGTTGGAGGCCTACCGAGTTCAACTGATCGCTCTCCGCGTTCGGCATTCTCGTCTCGGATCAGAAGTGAACGCTCTCCGCGCGCTGAATCTTCATCTAGCTCTGCTGATTCAAGTCGTACTGGAGGGTCTTCTTCACCGAGAAGTGGCACTGCTAGTTCTCGCAGAGCGTCTCCTAGGCAAGGCGCAGCTTCCTCGCACCATCACCGAAGCGTGCATTCTTCGTCTCGTCGATCTCGGTCTCCTGTAAGCGGTCGTGAAGGAAAAAATGTGACCACATCAGCTTCAGAGGACACGGCGGAAAGTGTGATGGCGCATCCCGAGCCGGGCCTGGAGTCGCATTATCGGCTGTGGCGGTTGAAGGGGGAGCCAGAGAATCCCTTCAAGCGGGCTCCAGTGGAGCGCTTCATTCCGATTAAATCGCACGGGGTGAACACCGAAGTTTCCACCATGCCTGAGCGAAAGTTTGCCGACTCGGACGACGAGAATCAATTCCTCGAGATGACTTCGGCAATACGCAAGCGGCTCTGCCTAAAAAAGCTGGAACGGAACGTCCTGCTCTGTGACAAGGTTCAACAAGCCGCGCGATCGCTTCAGTCGACTCTCAAGCAGCGCAGCGCATCTCAAGAGGTAGAAGAAGCCAACTGGCAGGCAACAACTACAGCAAGAAGAGGGGACAGCGCGGGCAGTCGAGGAGTTCTCGAAGAGGAAAACGAAGAAGAAGAAGTGGCACTAGCTCAAGCACCTAAGACGCGAGAAAGAGCCTTGACACTACAAGGGAGCGATTTAGCCGCAGGCCGAGCAAAACCAAAACCGTTGTCAAGAAGAGACGAGCGCACTTCTGCTAATGCTTCCTCATCTTCACGTCAGACGAGTAGCGAGCAAGAAACGGCGGATTACATCCGCGAGAGCCGAGAACGCAGCCGCTCTACTAGGAGCACCAGGGCCGCCACGACAGTTGTTAACCCAGAGGCTGAGAAAGTAACAGCTCCGGTTACCCTAGAAAAGCTGGAGGCTGCGCGAACGCTGCAGGAACATCTTGTGGAGGAGCAAATGGAGTTGATTCGAGCTACGAAGTTGCTCAAGCGCGAGCTCGCCCAGCAGGACTCAACAGGAGCTGGGGGAGACGAAGAAGCGTTGTCTGCTTCCTCCACGTCTCGATCAACGGTGGATCAGGAGGTTGATAAGGACCTTGAGGGTCCTGGTGGTGCGGCGTCGGTTCGTGGAACGACGATGGCCGCGCCTTCTAAGGCGGCTTTGCGTGGATCCAGTTGTGCTGGTACACTGATTGCCGCGGAGCAGGTGCAGGGAGGACGCCTCCAAGGCAGTTCGCAGTACCAATCGCTCGTCGCATCTTTGAGAAAGGAAAAGGAAAAACAAGAGAAGATCGCTGCAAGGTCGTCGAAGCTTTTACACGACCTGGGCCTCGACGACAAAGCAGATGATGAAGCAGTTGATACTGAAGATGGAGTCAAGAATAATGATGGGCTTATCGCAAGTTTCTACTCAGAAACTACTTCAGCAGACGGTGTTGCAGTGAATGACGAAAGAACTGAAGATGCCGATAGAAGAACCATTCTTGCGACTGCTGCTCTTGGTGACAGAGATGAACGCGATGCTGAGCACGTCTCTACGATCGATAGGCAGGCGACACAATCCAAAGAAGACTTCGACGTGGGTAATACAAACGTGAAGAATGCGAGGACATCAGTGAAACACCAGACGAGTTCGTCACCGAGCCTAGAGATGACTGCTGCTGTACATGTACAAGATATGGAAGAAGATACTACGACAGAGGTGGATGAACAAGAAAATGAGGAACACGGATTCTCTTCGCTTATGCCGATAGCGAAGAGAAAGATGAATACTGCTTCCGGTGAAGAAAAGATAGACACCTCAGCGCATGGCGAAGTCATTGGCCAAGTTAAGTCGGAGCACCTAGAGCTGGAAAAGCCGATGTCTAAGTCTGGTGCCGGTAGGGAGCACTCGTCTAGTAGGTCTGTCACACATGGGAGGGAAAATGCGCGCAGCACGTCCCGCTCGGAATCTCATTCCCGGATTTCGGGTGCTACACCCTCTACTCGATCAGTGGCGCAATGTACAGATGCTGGAGCGGTTAAGAAAGCGTTACGTCCAAGTGATAGTGCGGGTATAGGGTCTTCTCATGCGAGTATGGTTGAAACGACTAGGCGGTCACGTCCTGGTGGAACAGCAGCGGCAACTAGCATATTAGAGCAGAAGAAAGTTTCTAGTTCTGTCGCTGACGCCGGGGTGCCGCATCAAGAGCAGCGGGTGCCTGCGGCAGAGAAGCAGGCGAATGCTGCTTCAGGAGTGAAAGAGGATTCAGACGAGTCCTCGTCTCAACAAGAGACTACTTCTGAAGATGGTGATGCTGTGGCTGATGAAGTAGCGCGTCCTCGTGAGCCTGTGCCTGAAACATCTCGTCATGCTCATGCGAGTACGGCTGAAGGTGTGTCACCTCTTTTTTCTGGGGTTAAAGCATTTCGCCATTTGGGCGCTGCTGAGGACGTGTCGCGTCTTGCTGCGTCCGATGAAACGTCTCTTCATGTTCGTATAGCTGAACAAGAAGAGCAGGAACGTCCACCGCAGCTTCATCTAGTTACTGCGTCCGGAACGTCGCGTCGTCAGAGACAGAGTACTGCTTCCATTGCTGAAACGTCGCGCCAGCATAGCACGACGGATGAAAAAAAGACGCGGGTTCCGCGTCCTGCAAGCACTAAGGATAAAATTTCTGGTCGTTTTGACACCGGGCCGCCACTCTCAGAGCGCCGAATTTCGGCTGCAGAGCAACAACCGGATGCTGCCCCTCCTGGTGAAGAAAAATCTGAGCCGTCCTCGTCTGATGCAGAAACGACTGGGGGTAGTGATGCTGGTGTTGCTGGTAAAGTTCTTTCGCATCGTACGACTGCGGTGATGAGTGCGTTGCGGCAACGTGAGAGTGCGGCTGAAGCGCAGCGACATGAAATGAGTACCACGACTGAAAAGGTGGTGGCGCATCCTCATGCGGCTTTAGCGGAGCACGCTGTGCGAACGTCCTCAAAGGTTCTCAATGAACCTGGCCTCGACCAACCACCTTCTAGATCGGAGAAAGGTGAAAGCGTCGACCAAATCGGTGCAGGATCGGAGAAAGCTGGTGAGAGCCCTAGTGATCATATTTTTGTTGACGAGCAGGCATCTTCTTCATATCGGAAGGGGGCAGCAAGACCGAGAACGACAGGAGAAAGTGACGTCTCGCTGCCCTCTTCCGATAATGAGCATAATAGCAAGGACAAACTCATTGTGAGTTACTTTTCAGAGACGCTCGAAAGTATGATTAACAGTGACAGCACGGACGATTCCGATAGTACTGCTGCAGCTGGTGATGATGCTACACGACGACCAGGGGCTTTGGCTGCGGTTCGTCTGCCGATTATTGAAAAGGTAGGCACCATCAGTACTCCGGAGCACGTGCCTATGGATAAGCAAGAACAACAGGAACTACACTCCCCTGTTGATCAGTCATCAAAGATCGCTCGTGAGCAAGAGGACGTGGGCACTCAGGCGCCAGTAAGGAAGGTCACCGAGCAAGTTCTGCCTGGCGCCGATGCGAAAGCGCCGCATCCAGAGCAGGCGCGGGCTTCTGCCGCGGAGCGGAGGCCGAGTGCTGCGGCTCTCGATGCAGAAAAGCCAGAAAATTCATCTGATGCAGAGACTTCTTCTAGTGCGAGTAGTGAAGGCGAGGGTCACGATCACGAAGTATTGCCCCATGAGCCTCGGAGTGCAGCTGCGGCGTCGCAACGGGTGAGTGCTACCCCGGCACCGCAGCTTGTGAGTGGGAAAAAGGAGCTGCGTCGTGAGAATGCGCCCACGCTCTCCACCGAGAAAGCTGCCGCGGCATCTGCGCAGTTGCAGCCAGACGCGCGGCTTTCTGCCGCCGAGCGGAAGCCGAGTGCTGCGGCTCTCGATGCAGAAAAGCCAGGAGGAGGCTCATCTGATGAGGAAACTTCTAGTGCGAGTAGCGATGGCGCGGATCACGATCGCAAAGCATTGGCCCATCAACCTGGGAGTGCAGCTGCGGCGACGAAGCGGGTGAGTGCAGCTGTGGCTCCGCAGCGTGTGAGCGGGAAAAAGGGGCTGCATCGTGAGAGTGCAGACACACGCGCCACCGAGAAAGCTGCCGCGGCTTACGCGCAGGAGCAGCCAGACGCGCGGGCGTCTGCCGCCGAGCAGAAACCGAGTGCCGCGGCTCTCGATGAAGAAAAGCCAGGAGGAAGCTCATCTGATGAGGAAACTTCTAGTGCGAGTAGCGATGGCGCGGGTCACGATCGCAAAGCATTGGCCCATCAGCCTGGGAGTGCAGCTGCGGCGACGGAGCGGGTGAGTGCAGCTGCGGCTCCGCAGCGTGTGAGCGGTAAAAAGGAGCTGCATCGCGAGAGTGCAGCCACGCTTTCCACCGAGAAAGCTGCCGTGGCTTATGCGCAGGAGCAGCCAGACACGCGGGCGTCTGCCGCCGAGCAGAAACCGAGTGCTGCGGCTCTCGATGCAGAAAAGCCAGGAGGAAGCTCATCTGATGAGGAAACTTCTAGTGCGAGTAGCGATGGCGCGGGTCACGATCGCAAAGCATTGGCCCATCAGCCTGGGAGTGCAGCTGCGGCGACGGAGCGGGTGAGTGCAGCTGCGGCTCCGCAGCGTGTGAGCGGTAAAAAGGAGCTGCATCGCGAGAGTGCAGCCACGCTTTCCACCGAGAAAGCTGCCGTGGCTTATGCGCAGGAGCAGCCAGACACGCGGGCGTCTGCCGCCGAGCAGAAACCGAGTGCTGCGGCTCTCGATGCAGAAAAGCCAGGAGGAAGCTCATCTGATGAGGAAACTTCTAGTGCGAGTAGCGATGGCGCGGGTCACGATCGCAAAGCATTGGCCCATCAGCCTGGGAGTGCAGCTGCGGCGACGGAGCGGGTGAGTGCAGCTGCGGCTCCGCAGCGTGTGAGCGGTAAAAAGGAGCTGCATCGCGAGAGTGCAGCCACGCTTTCCACCGAGAAAGCTGCCGTGGCTTATGCGCAGGAGCAGCCAGACACGCGGGCGTCTGCCGCCGAGCAGAAACCGAGTGCTGCGGCTCTCGATGCAGAAAAGCCAGGAGGAAGCTCATCTGATGAGGAAACTTCTAGTGCGAGTAGCGATGGCGCGGGTCACGATCGCAAAGCATTGGCCCATCAGCCTGGGAGTGCAGCTGCGGCGACGGAGCGGGTGAGTGCAGCTGCGGCTCCGCAGCGTGTGAGCGGTAAAAAGGAGCTGCATCGCGAGAGTGCAGCCACGCTTTCCACCGAGAAAGCTGCCGTGGCTTATGCGCAGGAGCAGCCAGACACGCGGGCGTCTGCCGCCGAGCAGAAACCGAGTGCTGCGGCTCTCGATGCAGAAAAGCCAGGAGGAAGCTCATCTGATGAGGAAACTTCTAGTGCGAGTAGCGATGGCGCGGGTCACGATCGCAAAGCATTGGCCCATCAGCCTGGGAGTGCAGCTGCGGCGACGGAGCGGGTGAGTGCAGCTGCGGCTCCGCAGCGTGTGAGCGGTAAAAAGGAGCTGCATCGCGAGAGTGCAGCCACGCTTTCCACCGAGAAAGCTGCCGTGGCTTATGCGCAGGAGCAGCCAGACACGCGGGCGTCTGCCGCCGAGCAGAAACCGAGTGCTGCGGCTCTCGATGCAGAAAAGCCAGGAGGAAGCTCATCTGATGAGGAAACTTCTAGTGCGAGTAGCGATGGCGCGGGTCACGATCGCAAAGCATTGGCCCATCAGCCTGGGAGTGCAGCTGCGGCGACGGAGCGGGTGAGTGCAGCTGCGGCTCCGCAGCGTGTGAGCGGTAAAAAGGAGCTGCATCGCGAGAGTGCAGCCACGCTTTCCACCGAGAAAGCTGCCGTGGCTTATGCGCAGGAGCAGCCAGACACGCGGGCGTCTGCCGCCGAGC